AGGCCTCCCGCTGAGCAGGGAGCCCGATGCGGGGCTCGATCCCAAGACCCTGGGATCCTGACCTGAGCCGAAGGGAGATGCTTAACGACTGAGCCACCCAGGCACCCCTGTTGGCTTTTATTATTTCTCATCATTGTACATGGCATTTCTTTGCCCAAAATGCCTTCTTCCTCAGGTTGCCCTAGACATACATCTTGTTCTGGTCACACTGTGAATCCTTGCAGGTGCTAAGCAAACTCATGGGACCATTTCCCTTCTTCTCCACTCACACAAGCAGAGAGGCAAGACCTGTTCCTACTCAGACGCTGAACAATTTGCTATCCCTGTCTGACTCACCTTCGGTGGTGCTTTAGGTAGCTGCTGTCAAACCAAACTTAGGGGGTGGGGGAGGGAGGATTGATGTCCCTGGGGATCTTGTAAACCAGTCTTAATTTTTTTATTTTTTAAAGAGTTTATTTGTCAGAGAGAGAGAGCACAAGCGGGGGAGGGGGGCGACAGGCAGAGGGAGAAGCAGATTCCCCACTGAGCAAGAAGCTCGATGTGGGACTTGATCCCAGGACCCCAGGATCATAACCTGAGTCGAAGGCAGACGCTTAACCGACTGAGCCACCCAGGGGTCCCAACCAGTCTTAATTTTAAATGTGCTAAGCCCTCATCCTCAGCAAGGCCACATGGCCAGTTTGGTAGGGACATAGTTCAAGTGTCAAATTTTCACTTTTCTGAAGCCTTGCTCACCTCGGTTTCCATCACAACTGTGCATGCCCACTAGAGAAGAAACTTTGTTCACATAGATCCCTTGTACGTTAAACTTGGAGCTCCTTGGGTGCAGTGATCATGTTCTATCCATCCCAAGTCTATAAACTTAGTGCAGGGCTAAGAATATAGGAGGAACTCAATAGCCAGCAGCTTAGGAATTTGCTCTGCCTTAGGTGGAACGAGGACTCAAAGCCTGGGCTTCGATCTTAAGTTTACAACTCGATCTCTTCCTAAACAGCGAGTTAGACAAAGAACTGAACTTTGTAAAGGGGTTAGCACTGCATTAGTCTGCGTCTGAAGGCAGGTTACAGAGAAGCAAAGACATGGAGAATGATCTTGGGTGTCTAAGCCTACCACCGCCTCCCCTCCCAGTGGGCTCCATACCAGCGCTGGGAATCAGGGAGGAAAGCAGCGCAATCTTGGTCCTCTGCTGCCCTCTTGTGTTGCTTACTAAGTAAGGGATGTTCTTGCAGGCTTGTCCTGAAGGTCCTGGCAAACACCCCCTTTCCTCTCCAGTTTCTCATGCTGCCCCACCCCATGGCTGCAGCGTATTAGAAGATTAATACTAGAAGCAAGAGAACTGCAACTGTCATTAGTTCAGACTAGGAAATAGACCACTATCTTCCTGGGCAAAAAGGCCGTAGCCTTACCCTTTAGGAACCCTGAATATCCCTCCTTCAAAGGATATGGCAGCTGTGGAGCAAGAGAAACACTGATGCGCTCCCTATTTCAAATTCTAAAGCTAACAATTTAAGGGCACAATTTTGCGTCAAAATCCAGTCACCCACCCATACCCAGAGGTAAATATTACTTCGTATGTTAGCAGGTTTAAACAATAGATGCGGGGCGCCTGGGTGGCTCAGTTGGTTAAGCGACTGCCTTCGGCTCAGGTCATGATCCTGGAGTCCCAGGATCGAGTCCCGCATCGGGCTCCCTGCTCGGCGGGGAGTCTGCTTCTCCCTCTCCCGCTCCCCCCTCTTGTGCTCCTTCTCTCTCTCACTCTCTCTCTCAAATAAATAAAATCTTAAAAAAAAAAAAAAATAGATGCAAAGCCCCTAAGAATACTATCTGGCAGTTCGTGGTATATAAGCATTTTAAAAAGAACTTAGGAATGTGGTAGAGGTCACAGCACAGTGCAAAAAGCCATGTATTAACAGGATATGGGTTTGAGGTCTGGCTCAGCAACTGGCTTCAAGCCTCATACAAATTCTATCCGTGGGGCGCCTGGATGACTGTCGGTTAAGTGGCTGCCTCAGCTCCAGTCATGATCCCAGGGTCCTAGGATTGAGCTCCACATTGGGCTCCTTGCTCAGTGGGGAGCCTGCTTCTCCCTCTCCCTGCCACTCTACCTACTTGTGCTCTGTCAAATAAAATCTTTAAAAAAAAATTCTATCCGTATTCTAGCTCAGTTCAAGTCCTACACCCCGGAACACCAACTTCCTCAGTACTCAGTCTATCACCATCCAGCAAAGATAATGATCAGCTCCTACATCTGCTTCCCTGAGGACCCAGACACTATGGATTCATAGAAAGCCCTCCAGTATACATGTCGGTTTTGTTATGGTCTCCTCTCCCAACGAGGGTGGCCCTGAGGGAAGAAACTAACAGGTTTCCAGTCAGCTCACCTTAGCCCTCTGATCAGGGCCAGCCTTTCTCTGGGGTTGTCCCTTATATCGTAATCCCTGCACCGAGAGCCTTTGTTCTAATCTCTACCTCTCCCATTTTCTCTTGGACTTACAAACCTATTCAAAAACCGAAGTCAGGGAAGGTAGTGTGCAATAAAGGACTGGAGCCTTATTAACTCCTAACAATATTAAAGATAGCCTAATTTGTTTCCCTCCTGGTCAATCTAAACAGGACAAACCTACATCAACATTGGCAGGAAGATCCGTGGCATTTATGGAAACCGAGTAGTGCCCTCTGGTGGCCAAGCCTGGAGTGACAGCCAGAGTTGCCTCTAGTAGTGGCTCCAGGGACATGTACCCGTGCAAAGAAGGGGACGCCTGACAGCTTCCATATCCAGCCATGCTTACTCCTTCTTCAAACTCTCCTCTGCTTTGCTTTCTGGACACCACTTCCCCAAAGCCCCACTCTAAGCTGTTCATTCCCTCAAAGAATTTCTTCGGGTGGGGTGACGGGACTGGGACAGCGATGGAGAGAGCATGAAAACAGGCTGGACACTCACATCCACCATGACCCCTGCTCGATCATCTTCCAAGGCATACATGACAAGGTTGAGAGGCCTGTGCCCACGATCTGCCTCCTCTCATCAAACTGCCTGAGGACACACAGAGGTATCTGGTAGGGCCAGCACTTTTATGGAACACACGTTATGGACCATGTGTTCTCAATCACGGTCTGTCGGGAAAAGGAAACTTGTTGAGGGCATTTTGCCCATTTGGGGGTGGCCACTTCAACGCTAGTGATGGCTGCTGGATTTCATGTCATCTCTAGAAAATAAAAGCCCCACACAATCAGAGCCACAATAAAACAAATGGCCCACTGGTGACTACGCCCCTAGGTCGTATTTGCACACTCCTGCCCTACTGTTGGAGACAAGAGGAAGGTGGGGGCTGAGGCAGAGGGTGAAGCAGGGTCACCAATGCCAGGAGCCAATATGCTGAATCCTTTGAGACTCAAAGAGACCTGGACTAGGAACCAACAAACCACACTGAGGGATTGGTTCTTCCCAGATCAGTCTCCTCACATTCCAAAGTCCACCTGTCCTAGGACTGGCTCTCTCTTTAGTTTTCACACCTATGAAATTAGGGATACTTGCTACCTACACCTTGAAACGTCACCCTGAGGAACAGTGACCATGACAGATAATCCCTTAGCATTAAAGGAACAAAATTCTCAGTGTGCCGTAACTGGTCAGAGGATAGGGACAGCTCCTGAGGCTACAGCTCATCTTTAATAGCAGCCTTCTCCCAACAGCTTAGAAAGTCTTGCAAGGGGGCACCTGGCTGGCTCAGTCAGTACCGCATGTGACTCTTGATCTCAGGGTTGTGAGTTTGAGTCCGATGTTGGGTGTAGAAGTGACTTAAAAAAAAAAAAAAAAAAAAACAACCCTAGATTGAGTTGCTTATAAAACTTGCTATTAAATTAGATATAGGTGAAACTATAGACTGGAGAAAATGAGTAAATAATCTAGAATTCTGAAGTCCAATTCCTTCACAATGTCTAAATTCTTTATCCATTTTAAAATAATTCCAAGCTAGTGTGCCTGGCTGGCTCACTCAGTAGAGCATACGACTCTTGATCTTGGGGTATGGAGTTCAAGCCCCATGTTGGGGGTAGAGTTTACTTAAAAAAAAAAAAAAAGACCAGGGGCGCCTGGGTGGCTCAGTCGTTAAGCGTCTGCCTTCGGCTCAGGTCACGATCCCAGAGTCCTGGGATCGAGCCCCGCATCGGGCTCCCTGCTCGGCGGGAAGCCTGCTTCTCCCTCTCCCACTCCCCCTGCTTGTGTTCCCTCTCTCGCTGTGTCTCTGTCAAATAAATAAATAAAATCTTTAAAAAGAAAAAAAAAATTTAAAAAAAGTCCAAGCTGAAAATCATAGATCATACATTGGATTATTGTGAATGAAGGTCCTCGCCTTCTAACTGTAATTTTCCTCAATTTTAGAGTTTATTAACTGAGCATACATGACAGGCTAACTTAAATGTACAACTTTTTCATACTCAACTGACTTTTTAATTAAACGTCAAACTACTTGTCCTGATGATGTGTAAAAGGGGCTTTGTTTAAATTCCTGCTAAAATTATGGTCAGTGAGAAACCGCTGGCACGGGGACAACAGGAGTCAGTGCTTGAAACTGCACTCCTCTCCAACTTTTTTTTTTTTAATTTTTGGAGAGGGTGTCTTTGGGCATTTATCTTCGAAAAAATAAATTTTGTTTCCTCAGAAAGTCAACTTTTAATTTCTCTATTTTTCCATCCACGGGGAAACAGAAAGAATAGTCCTTTGGCCTCCACTCACCTGGAACAGATCAAATGACATCACAATTCCATCCCTCGATGGCAATGCAGCAGGTTATCCTGAAAATAAAAGACACATCCAAACTCACCATGTCCCAGCCCTTCATCCTATACAACTAACCCAGAACCAGAACAGGGAGTTGGATGACCTGTTGTTGGCTGGTTTTACACATTCCATTCAACTGACAAAAATGTAAAGATGTATTCCTATGTAAACACAGTCATGAAACATGAAAACTTTACATAAATTTGGAAGACGTGAAATATACACTTTACAAATTGATTCTTTATACTTTCAAAATGGATTTACAACAGTATTACTTTACACAAGTTCCTACTTTATACAATGTTTTGTTTAGGCAGCTTTTCAATAACATTTCTATTACAAGTTACACATGGAACCTCTCAGGAAGTTGGAAGGCTTGAGGAGCCACATGCAAGGGACTGATGACAGGGGCAAAAGGTGTGAGGTCATCACTCTGGTGCTCAACTAGGAGCTGAGAAAGGACTCCAACTCTCATATGGAGCTAAATCAAGGCACTGGGATCTTCACTGTTTTCCTCAGCTCTTCTTCCCAACAGGCAAACTTTCATCAGAAGAGGACTGTGTTTTCTGTATCAATATGGCAAAGAAACCTTTTAATACAGGCTGACGCCTATCATAGACTAGCACAGTCAGGTACTGAATGGTGATGATTAGGTAATGACTCTTGAAATATTTGTTGTTCAATTTTATCTCCTGTTACAGGTACATAGCATCTATAATCCATTCCAGTCTGTGTTGCGTGGCAGGAGATCTAGGCAGGATTGAGCCCAGAACACCCATGGGCACTAAATATCAATCAGTGCCTGATCCAAGCCAGAGGCAGGTCTTAAGAGACTGCCAAATACCCAGCAAGATCATAAATGAAAAAAACAGAAGACGCAGAAACCCATTACAAAAGGGCCTTCAGAGTTCAACAAAAGGTACAAGGCAACACCAAGTTTTACCCCCTTCCAGGTAGGCATCCACTTTGTTCTCAGGGTTATCTTACACAAACACCCAAAGGTCATGTTAATTTTAATAGCAAATTAAGTGAATCCCAGATACTTCTGCCAAAACAAAAGACCTAAAGTCTGAAGATCTTTATATATCATTTTTTAAAGCTCTGTATGGCAGAATGAAGCAGGGACTCTCAGGCTTTTACCAACCTCCACCACCACGGACGGTATCTCTGGCTTTAGGCTAACCAGATAGAAAAGGGAGTTCCACCTCCCAGGATGCTGAAATGAAATTGTAAAGAAGTCCATCTCCTTTACAGCTGATCAAATTACACAATCTTTCTCCAGCCTAGAGCCTACATAAGAAACAAGCCCTTTCTTGATTCTGCATAAGAAATCCTCTAGGGTCTGATCTGAAAGAAGGAAAAACAGAAACACAAGAGCCACTGGCATGGGACAGGGGCACTCAATCACCCTCTAGTGCCAACTTCACTAGGCTCCTTCACCCTTCTGGCTCAGACTCCAGCTAACAGTCCTTCCTTCTCACACCTCATGCAGCTGCAGGATTACTGAGATGAAGCATCAGTTTCTCTGTGTGTTTTCTCTTCTTTCTCCAGGTGCAGAAGTTTCTCTGGGACACAGGCCAGCTTCACAGCTAACACACAGTAAACAAGGTTTTTAGATAAACATCACTTGGTAGTCGATCTGGGTACTTAACAGAAGGGATCAATTAGAAGGTAGATGTACCTTTGTTCATTTGCTGTGTTAGTGCACAAGGTAGGAGGAAAACCAGAGACCTGCAAGACACCACCCAGGCTTTGTCATTCACCAGCAGTATCACTGGGCAGGTGACGCTCTCTCCAACTTCAATATCATCATATGTAAACACATCAGTGGCCCTCTCATGGGGGACGGGGTGGTAAAAACATATCCTTCTTGCCCTTCCCCCACTAACTCAGAGAGGCAGAGAATCCACCTCACCGGGAATGCTGTCATCAGGGACTGTGGACAACCCATACGTGAGGAAGAACACGAGGAGGGAGCACAGGAGGTGCATACCAGATGGGCAAAAGCTCTCTAAAGGCAAAGGCTTTATTTCAGCTGCAGTGTCCCCTTTCAGTTATATTCTCAATGGAACTGGGACAGATGGCATCCTCTCCCAAAGTCAGGGGGTTCTAAGAATTTGGATGCTTAAAAAAGGCCAAACCACTATTATTCCAGATTGTACTCTGGAGACTCTTCTTCTCTTTTGGCCCCAGAGCCCCCACCAGACAAGGAGAGACATCACAACAACTGTGGGAAAGCTGCAGACAATTACAAGTCATTCTTAAAGAGATTTAATCATTTGAATTGCATCAAAGGGGATATAGTACATTTAAATCTCTGCTACATCACAAACTGCTGTTTTTGTTGTTTTGTTTTATTAAAGACCCACTAGTTCTACCCATCTCCAGGTTTATGGCTACAGAATGGGGGGAAAATAAGTATTACCAACAGAAGAGGAAAAACCAAGCAAGAGTCTGTTCTGTTCCCCAGAAGGTCTTCTCCACTGCAGAACAGAGCCCTTTAAAATAAAAGAAAGGAGGGGAAAGGCTGTGGACTATCGACAACCAGTAACAGCAGCTAAAGTTAGAAAGCGACAGGAAGAAGTCACGGAGGCAGAGCCTGCCTGTTCACAAGCTGTCCCTCGACCCACACTTTCCTAGCCATCCGCAAAGATCCATCTTCCTTAAATTTCCTTTTGACATCTTAACCCTAAACCAAGTTTCCCTGTCAATTCCAATATAATAGAGACACCATTTACACAGGAGGACTGATTTGAGGATTGGAATGATTTGCCACCATTCTGGTAAGCTTATTTAAAAACAGCATGGCTTTAAAGATAAGTTCTATTCCGTGAAGACTGGGTGGGGTTATTAGTAGAGATGGGAGGCATACGGCCCACCAAACAGAGCAGGATACAGAAGAACAATCCACTGCTACTGTAGCCTAGTTGGGCAGAGGCAAAAGCAAGCAACCCCCCGTCTCGCTCTTCCAAGCCCACAAGGTAGAGGGGCATGAGAAGCTGTAGTCTAATGGCTCTAAATAACCAGCATTTAGTGTTAAATTAGGACCAAGGATTTATTCCACAATATAAACTGCAACAATTTGATACAAGCTACCAAAAAAATAGTAGGAGAGGAAGGGAGGGGCAGGGGAAAAGCCAAAATACAGCCGTGGCAAATTACTTACAGAGCAGTCTCTTTTCTACATCACTAGTTCATCAGTGACACTAGAAACTAGACATTTGTGTTCTGTACATCAACCAAATGCTAAAGCACCAACACACTGTTTGGAAGTTTGTTTTGTTTTGTTTTAATTCCAGCCACTGAAACCAACACAGAAGTTATTGCTTTGATAAATAAACCTAGTCTACCAGGAAAAAGAAAAGTGGATAAAGAAACAAACAAAAACCCCAAAAGTGAAAAACTTAAGGTCCCCAATATGGTAACAGAGTAAACAAGAGAGAAACTCCTCAAATGAGGATTTACTGGAATTTCTGGTGCCCTTCTGGGCACTGAAACGGAGTTGGACTCGTAAGCCGGTAAATCCCAGACAGAGGTAAGATTTTAATGCTGTACATGGAAAGGTGCAAAAGCTCCGATGCCTTCCAAACTGGTGGAAACCCCTGCGGAAAAACCAGTCAGCATTTCAAACCTCAACAACCACAAACAGCTCGTAAGGAAAAAAATACAAAAAGTGTCAAAAAATTTTTTAGTTGTTTTTTCTTTTTTTCAAAGAGTTCTGGAAAAATGATCCCATAAGGAATAGAAATAGCACCGTTTACAGGCTGGTTTGAGTACCAGTCCTGCAGCTTTGCTGAGAAATTGAAGAAATCTTCTTGGTTGGAGTCCTGAATTACATTAAGTGGTTGGGGGGGGGGTTGTTTGTGTTTGTGTTTTTTATTTTCGGCTTGGTGCGTCCTTCACAGTACAGCGCACACAGATGTAGTCTTCCTTCTCGGCCATCTCTGGAGAAACACCAACACAGACCTGGTGAAACCACTGATTGCAGCTGCCATCACACTGGACCCAGTCCACCTGGTTACAAAGAGCAGGGAGACGGGATTTTCAGAGGAAAAAATGTGATTCGAAATTGGGCAGGCCAGCCTCAAGATATTCAGGCCGTTTGCCACTACCGGCCACTGTCCCACCACCGGGACCTCAGGCACAACAGCTACGCCACATGAGTGCAGCTGGCCCACCAGCCAAAGCAACCAAGTCAAAGCCATTCTTCAAGTCGTGACTGCTTTGGGGTTAAGACAGCGCCGCCCTGTGGTAAGTAAGCAAAAGGGCATTACATCGGCATCCCTCCCACCTTCTTAGCGCCGGGACGGTGAAAGCTGGAAGAGCAGGAAGAGGAAAAAGGGAAGAATAAGAGTTTCTTCAAGAAAAGGGAGAAGACCCAGGAACGATGGTTAAGAGCAGAGATATCAGTGGGGGAGGGCTGAGCAATCCATTCAGATCAGCTCAAAGCAGATAAGCAGAAGAGAAAGACCCAGCGAGATGAGGTGTAGTTTACAGGGTTTCTGAGTTAAGGGAAAGCACGTCCTCTATGGCCCAAACCTCACTGACCTCATCTCCTTCTGGCTGCAGGCAGCTCACAGCTGGGCAGATGGCATCTTCATCCTCAGAGTCCTCCTGTTCGGAATAGGATGTGTCTGAGGGCAGGGAATGAGTTTCGGCAGAACGGACTAATTCATAGCTACGCTCTCTCTCTAACTTGAAACTGTTCATGTCCTTGGAGTGGCTCAGTTTGATTTTCTTCTTTTTGGGGGTCCGCATTTTTTTAACTCGATCCCACCGATCACTGGAGAGGCCTTCTCTTTCCAGGCGTCTCTTCAGTTTTCTCTCAAGACTGTTGATTCCATCTCGCTTCCCGCGGCAGCACTCATTCTGGGTGGATAGGCAAAGTCAATTTTAGCCGACAGTTCTGCCTGTTACTCAAACTAGTGAAGTATTAGCTGTATGAGAGTTCGGATGATCTCTCATCAACATTTTAAAAATCCTGCAACCCAGGGCGCCTGGCTGGCTCAGTTGGAGAAGAGCGTGCGACGCAATCTCGGGCTGAGCTCGAGCCCCACATCAGGTGCAGAGAAGACTTATTAAAAAAAAAAAAAAGCCATCACATCCCCTCATGTCCTATGGGACAACCTGCTTGAGTTTAGCTAGCCGAACTGTTAGTGCTATCAAAAGAAATAGTGGAAAAAGGAAATGTTAAAGACATGATTAGCTTTCAAATTAGCACCAGAAGATGCGGAGATGCCTACATTCTCCTCTCCACCAACTACAGGAGTAAAAGACTACCATGTAGTTTCTACCTAGGTGTGTATGCTTATCCTTTGACCTACAGACTTCTAAGGAACCGTGCTAATACCTTCCTTCTTTAAGGACATACATCCCCACCCCATACAGAAGTAAGGTTCATTAATTGAACATAACCAGTAATGGTGCTACACTACTATTTGGTATCGTAATGAAAAATAAAATTCTAGGGGTGCCTGGGTGGCTCAGTTGGTTGAGCATCTGACTCTTGGTTTCGGCTCAGGTCATGATCTCAGGGTCATGGGATCGAGCTCCATGCTCAGTGGGGAGTCTGCTCTTCCTCTCCCTCTGCCCCTCGCTCTACATTCTCTCTCTCAAATAAATAAATATTTTTTTAATTTAAAAATATTAAAAAAATAAAATTCTAAATGGTATTTGATAGTGAGATTCTTCCCTATCCTGACTATATTCTCAGGAGTTTTGAATGTTATAGGTCAGTTAGCTTACTAAGAGAAAGTAGCAGCATCTTTAAGCTAAGACACAGAACACACATGGTATCTATCCCCTTCAAGTAAGTCAGCACTCAAAACAGGCACCCTCAGTCTGATGACCCAGTCCTCACACCAGCTGTCCTGTTAGGGTTAGAGCAATTAAAGCATTTGTTAAACGTTAACTCCAAGATGTTCTTTAGGTTTTGAAAGCTTTATACCAAAAGGCCTTCCCAACTATAATTAGATTTTCATCTCTACAGTATTTCTCTTACAAAAAAATAATCCTGCTTCTAGCTATTATCACATCGGAATGATGAAAAGCACCATGCTAAAAGGAAAAAAAAATTCACGGTCACTTAAAAAACAGCACCAAACTCCAGGATGTGAGCCCAAAGTGATGCCTAACACCCCTCTGCTCATTGACAGTCTTAGGAATGGGGTTGTGAATTAGACAGTTTGCATCTTTTTCATGATCGACACAGCATCTCATTCACCGAACTATTTAGATGGAATGACCTAAAAATCATGCTCCCAACCCTAGACTATATTCCCCAGCTGCCTGTCAGACACTCACCTTCTCACTGCTGGGTCTAGCTGGTGAAATTCGGTCAGTTTGCTGAGCAGGGGTTGGCTTTGCAAGTAAAGTCTGGTAAAGTTCCTGAATTTCAGGAAGGGATACCTGGAGCAACTGGGCTTCCATCAACAGTTCATTCACTTCTGGACTAATACCTGTTTAAAGACCACACCAAAGTGTAATGATAATAGAGGGTGTTTCACATGGACATTGAGACCTGCAAGCACAGCAGGACCACCCCTCATACCCCTCATACCACTGCCACCCTCGCCTTGTAAAATTATATTAGGTTCACGTAATGTGTCTAAAGCCACGATATAATACGAGCCCAAACTAAGATTTTCTCAGGCTTCTGATTACTAGGGAAGTACTAAGTCTACACTGAATCCCCTCTTACTTAATTATTGCTAACACAGAAGAGGTCGTGCATCTGCCTTGATAGCTTCTGCTTTCAATAGAAAGCACAGAACAGGCCAAGACGTGGGCAATCTGGGTGGACTGAGTAGCTCCAACCCCATTACCAAACACATAGTGGGAGGGCATGACTAAGGATTAGGACTCCCACCACGGCTCCAGGCAGAACTCCTGGGGCAGTCAAGTATACGTAAGCACAGCTGACCCTTGAATAATGTGGGAGTTGGGGGTGCTAAATCCCTAAAACAGTGGAAAATCCATGGGTTACTTTTAACTCCCCCCAAAAACTTAAGTGCTAATAGCCTACTGTTGACCGGAAGCCTTACCAATAACATGAACAGCTGATTAACATATTTTGTATGCTTATGTATTATATACTATTCCTAGAATAAAGCAAGCTAAAGAGAAGAGACTGTTAAAATCATAAGGAAGAGAAAATACACATTTACTGTACTGTATTTATTGAGAAAACCTGTGTATAAGTGGACCTGTGTAGTTTGAGTCAACATAGAAAAAAGGAGGTAGGTTTCAAGTGTAGATTATCTCTACGATCCCAAAGAAGCCCAGGACTTAGCATCTGACTGAAATGGCTGGTATTTAAAAGTCAGTTGGCATGGGATTAACCCTTTCATCCCTGAAAGCAATGTATTAAAGCCTTTTCCTATTTGCTTTGCATTTATAAACCTTCAAGCATGATCCTCCTCCTACCTTGCAAATTCTTAGTAACCCATATCCGACATTTGAGGATAAAGTCTTTTCATGTATCTGAACAACAAAAACCTACTGCAAGGTTACTCTTTACTACCCAGCCCTCCTCCTCCTCCTCATCAACGTAATAAATACAAACCATGGAGGGGGATACAACTTCGGCCAGTGGAGAAGGGAGAGTGTACATATGAGGCTCTGCTGTCCCAGTCATCAGGCAAGGAAAAGGATGTTGTGCCAGTAGGCTGAGACACCTAATGGAAGGAAAACATTTTATAGGAAGGCTTTTTCAGATTAAAAATTCTCCCACCAGTCCAAGGAATGTAGTTTGGGTTATCAAGCAGGCAAACAGGAAAGAAGGACTTCAATTCCCAACTGAAAGAAGTCTCCAAGTATTTTAGATTTAGCCAAATCAACTCATATCCACCAAGCCTTTAGTCTTCCTGGTTTTACTTGGACTGATTCCACAGAGGTCAAGAGCACCGTTGGGAAATAAGGTATTTTCTTTGCATGAGAACAGATCTTACAGCCTTTTTATACCCTATGTAATTCTCCTAATGAAGGTTATAACACAATGAACACAGACATGTGCCCCTTTGAGCAAACTGACTGAGGAACTGTCAGATCTCATGCACGTCCACCTTCCTCCCTTCCTTAGTGTTTATTAAAAAGTGCTAGGAGAAACACTCCTTTGACTCTGAACTAGTAAATAAGTAACAGTTGTGTCCCCTCCTTTTGTCAATAAAGGTGAACTTCTAGCCTGTCTTGGGTAAAGAACATAAATGTCTCCCCTATAGGCTACCCAAATGACGACAACTCACCCTATGCAACTAAAATTTAATTCATCATTTGCTAAGACCCAGACACTGTATTTCACAAGCCTGGAAAGAAATGTAAAAGAAAACAAGGATACAAATATGATGGAAATCAATTTTTTGTCTTTTATCTTTGATCAGCTGAACATTTAACTCCTAATTCACTGTGTTAGTACAGCACAAGAGAGCTGCGAGATCTCGGCTAGAGAACTCTGTATGAGATCTGAAAATCAGGTCACACTCATATCAAGGCTGAACACTGCCCTCTGATTGTACTTTTCTGATATTTTCACATTTTTTTCCTGCAGTCACCTTCTATGGAAGAAGACAAAAAACTCTGCCCATCCCAGGGATGGTCAGAAGAATCTTGCTTTTATAGCAGAAAGATCATGGATGGTATGAAACCCACTGCCTTTCCTCTGAAGCAACACACAGTACTCAGACACTTCAGAACTTATTCTTTCCTCCAGGGGCAGTAAGAGACACAAAGCAGAAAGCGCTTTCCCCTCTAGTCAGTGACTTACATGAGAGGAAGCAGGGGGAAAAAAGCAGTCAAATAAAAATCCTAAAACTCCATACATATTAAATATGTGTCTGGAATTCATACACATCAATGGGAAAACTATACGTATCTATGAAAAGGGGAAATCTGCTCTCCAGAAGCAGACTGCCTGAGAGACCCCTTCGGAGTGCCAGGAACAGAGAAAACGAAAGCACGGTAGGGACACAGAGCCCTCGAAGCGGGGAGCTTAAAAGTGAGCACCGGTACCAGTCAAGCCATCACCAGGAACAGCAACAGTACCAGAGCGGAAGGTGCCGGGGAAAGGGACAGAGCTCGGCGGATTCCAGTAACTGGCAAAGAAAAGTCCAGACTCACCTTGTTTGTCTCAGACACCTGTCCTGCTGAAGCTTGCCATCTGCTATACCATAGTCCTGAGCCCACTCGATCTTGCACAGATTTGAGAGTCCCTGATGAAAGCAGCTGCTGGGCTCTGTGTTGCCAGTTCACGGTTCTTTCGATCATATATCGAAGTGCATCTCCCTCAGGAAGGCGAACTCGGATACGCTGCAGGGAAGCCAGCAGGGGCAGAATTTTCTCTAATGGAGGTTTCTCTGACCTCCGACAATGGGGACAAAGCCAGATGCGGGGGCCTTGTGAAATACTGGGTACCGCCACACAGCTACTGTGGAAAGCATCTCTGCAGAGTTCACACTGGATCATGGGGGCAGCTGGGGCCTTCTGACATAGGCAGACTTTCAGCTCCACATCTTGGACAGGTGACAGCAACTTCCCTTCATTGGCTAGTCTGAGAGACTGCAAGGCTTCCATTTCCCTTAGCCGAGCTTCCCCAAGTGTTGCCATCTAAAAAGAATTTAACAATCAAGGACAATGTCAGAGAGAATTCAGCCCTCTCCTAAATCTCAAGGGTCTCAGAGTAGATGATCTACATTTAAATCCTGGCTCCGTCTCACTGAGTTATATGAATGGCCCTGGGCAGCACGTTCCACTGTGGCTAAATGTTCACATGTATAAAATGGAGTTCATAGTACGCCTACCTCCCAGGGCTGCAGTGATGATTACCTGAGAGCCCTGTGCCAGAGCACGCTCTGCCGGGCACACAGTGAACAATGTGAGCAATTACTGAGCACATACTACTTCTTAAAGTCCAACTTCCTTGCACATTTACTTCTCTTAAAAGATACAGGCTTTTCACATTCTACGTGCACTAGTTCCTGGGGTTCTCCATGTTTTCGTAGTTCCATTAGCTTCTGTGTTCTTTTAGAGAGGTACTTTGGATAGAAAAGTCTCTAAAGCAGCCACTACACGATGGCAGTTTATGCCTCTTACTATCTTTAACATTAAGGCCTTATACGTGGGCTGGACACAGTAGATAATGAAACTGGATACCTCATGAGATAATTAAACAGAAAGCACTTTACCAGACTTTTCTTACACACACGTGTGCACGCACATGTACATGCTTTACATAAAATAAGCTCATTAGGGCACAGACAAAAGCAAGCTGCTTTTCTGCAGTGGCAGGTTCTTTCCTCTCTAAACGAGAGCCATGTCCCACGAAAGTGGGGAGTTCAGTTAACCTGTATTAAGAGACTTGAAAATAACACATAAACAGAACCAACTTCACAGTAAAAAGCTCAAGTGACATTGAACATATTCCTGAACAATATTTACAAGATGTCCATTAAGTGAAACCTTTACATGAACGGACTAAGCATCTACTATACAAGGTATCAATATATAAACAGGTCCAGGCATTACAGATCTATTCATTATGCACCATGAAATAAAAGCTATCTAAATGTGATAAACTAAAATCACTGGCTACGTCGAGAGTTAACCACTACCACCTTGAAACTTAATATCCAGTTTCCCCAGTGAAAGGCTGGACTACCGAAGTCCTCCTCCAGCACTTCACTGATATAGAAATACAGATAAATGGGGGGGGGGGGGGGAGTGTAGATTTTAAAAACTGAGTTCTCCGCTCTAGAAACAAAAGCTACAGGCTGCAGGAACCACTCCTTTCCCCAATTCTATTCCCAAATCCTTAAAATGTTAATCTGTCACAGTTAAAACCATTCCCAGTTACCACACCCACCCACCATCAGACCTGTGATGATTCACCAGATAAGGTGCCCTGAGTCTTAAGGCCAGAACGAACTCTCCATTATCTCTTTTTGGAATGGGAAAGAAAATGTATGAATGATTAAGGAAGAAACAAAAAGATCTAGAAGTAAATTAGGTAACAAACCTTTGGTATATTTTTTAAAAATCCACTTATTTCTGTAGACAAAAACAGTGTACAGGCAGTATATATGGGTTATGTGATAACAAGGTGCCTCCCTAGAACTCACGAATGGAGAGCAAACAGCTTATCTTTCAGAGTTCTACTATGAAATCAACAGGTAATGTATGAGTTTTCTTAAGCCAGGGATTCATACACTAGATGGGCAGAGACTAGACTCTGAAAGATATAGCATGCAAAATTCAAAACAGACAGTGGCTTTACAAAAATAGACCACAGTAACAGTGGAAAGCAGCTCCTTAAAAAAACCAGAATGATGCTCAAGCAGCACAATCTGATTAAAAACTGACTCAATATACAAATATGCCCTAAGGAAGTCTGTGTCAAAATACACAAATCAAGGCAATCCCACGTCAGTCACCAGAGAAGTCAGGTAGCTACAAAGGAACGGACTGGGAAGAAGATGCCCTGACCAGAGATTAATCCCATCTAGTCCAGTCCTTGGAGCTGGGATAGTCCAGTTCTACAGTGGGCAACACTCTGTGCCACTTAAAGCACCCAGGTGGGACTACATCCAACTAAAAAGCTTTTGCTCAACAAAGGAAACCAACGAAATTAAAAGGTGACCTACAGAATAGAAGAAAGTATTGGCAAAGCACACACCTGATAAGGGGTTAATATCCAAAATAGATAAAGAACACATACAACTTAATAGCAAAAAACAAACATAGGCAGAGGATAGGACTATTTTTCTAAAGAAGACATACAAAGATGACACAGGTATATGAAAAGATGGTCAACCATGAAACTGCAAATCAAAATCATAATGCAAGATCACCTCACACCTAGCAGAATGGCTATTATATCAAAAATGCCAAGAAGTAACACATGTTGGTGAGGATGTGGAAAAAAAAGGGAACCCTGTGCACTGTTGGTGGGAATGTAAATCAGTACAGTCACTCTGGAAAACAATATGGAGGCTCCTCAAAAAATTAAAAATAGAAATACCAAATGATCCAGCAATTCAATTCCACTTCTGGGTATTTATCTGAAGAAAGAAAAACACTAACTTATTAAAAAGCTACCTGCACCCCCCATGTTCACTGCAACATTATTTACAGTAGCCAAGACATGGAAGCAACTCAAGTGTCCATCAGTGGATGAACGGATAAAGAAGATGTGGTGTATGTACATACAATAGAATATTATTCAGCCATTAAAAAAAAAAAAGGAAATCTCGCCACTTGCAACAATATAGATGGATTGTAATTGCGTTGGGCTAAGTGAAATAAGTCAAAGACTAATATTGTATGAATCCAAAAAAAAAAAAAACCCAAAAAACCCCAAACCCACAGTTAACAGAGAACAAATCAATGGCTGCCAGAGGCAGGGGGTGGGGAGTGGGCTAACTGGGTAAAGGCAGTCTAAAGGTACAAACTTCCTGTTATAAAATAAGTCCTGAGGATATAAGGTACAGCATGCTGACTATAGTTAATACTGTACCGTATTGTATACTTGGACATGGCTAAGAGTAGATTTTTAAATTTCTCACCATAAGAAAATGTTTGTAACTATGTGCGGTGATTGATGTTAACTATTAACTAGACTTATTGCGGTGATCAATCAAATCACTATGCTGTACACTTGAAACTAACATAATGTTATATGCCAATTATAGCTCAATAAAAGAAAAAAATCTAAGCATCCAAATTACCTATCTTCTTTTGTTCTAATACTGTGGGGCTCACTGACTATGAGTTAAGACTCTGCTTCACTGAGGGTTGCTGGAGTGGGGGGTGGGGTGGGAGGGATGGGGTGACTGGGTGATAGACACTGGGGAGGGTATGTGCTCTGGTAAGCGCTGTGAATTGTGCAAGACTGTTGAATCTCAGATCTGTACCTCTGAAACAAATAATGCAATGTATGTTAAGAAAAAAAAAAGAAGAAGGTAGCGGGAGGGGAAGAATGAAGCGGGGGAAATCGGAGGGGTAGCCGAACCATGAGAGACAATGGACTCTGAAAAACAAACTGAGGGTTCTAGAGGGGAGGGGGGTGGGAGGATGGGTTAGCCTGGTGGTGGGTATTGAGGAGGGCACATTCTGCATGGAGCACTGGGTGTTATGCACAAACAATGAATCATGGAACACTTCATCTAAAACTAATGATGTAATGTATGGGGATTAACATAAGAATAAAAAAAATTTATACTTAAAAAAAAAAAAAAGACTCTGCTTCAGCTTCTTATGATGATACCAGCTTTGAATCAACAGTGCTTACTAAATGAAGTCAGACTCAAAGGTATCCAATACACTTTTAAGTGTATTTTTTAAGCATGTGTGTTTGTGTATTTATTTATTTTACTTACTTACTTAGTAAGCTCTATGCCCAACGTGGGGCTTGAACTCACAACCCTGAGATGAAGAGTCACACGCTCCACCCACTGAGCCAGCCAGGCACCCCTTATGTGTATTTCCTGTTGTAAATTAGTAAGTTGGCAGTACAGTTTCACTTATCTGTTAACCTTGATATCCTCAGTCAGCATCCCGGGATCAACCCACAGGCAATGACAAGACAGTCTGCAGAACTCAGACTGGGAGGCCCTCCCTGTACCTGCTGCACCTCTATGTATCTTCTACTCAAAACGTTTACATTTGACAATTTTCAGAAAGTCTTTTTGGTAAAACGGAGTACTCTTAAGGTTACCCTTTTACATACCTTACCAATATCCCTGTGAACAAGAAAGGGTTAGAAATCATCCCCCCTAAGCAACAGAGAAAGAAGAAAAAGCCCCACTACGTACAGCTGAAGCAGTCTCCTTGCTTTCACTTAAAGCTCTCTCCAGGTCACTCAGACTCTCTAGTTTGGTGCTTTTCTTCTTTCCACTTGGCAAGGGCTCCTTGAACTTTCTCTGCTTCCTCTTCAATCCCCAAAGGCCAATGTCACATCGAGGACACAGCACCTAATGTGGGGCAAAGCACAACTACCGGTAAGATGGATTTCAGATAAAGCCTTAGGAAGCCCCACAGTAAAAGCCTAAGCAGTGGGAAGGATGTAAACTTATTATCTAACATTTTCTCTGTCACATGCCACTCTAAAGCCAGAAAACTCTTCTGTATAAAGGGAAGGAGGGAGGGAATGAATTTCACAAAACACTGACTTTGATTATAGATTGGGTGAAACCGTAAGTTCAATGTGATATACACCAATTCCAGTCATAATGTACAACCGGTATCAGCTTACAAAAAATACACAAAGTGCAACTCCAGCACCTCATGAGAGGTGGAGAAGACCATTTACCAGGCTTATTAAATGCAAATGGTGCAGCATGGCCAAGGTTAAAAAAAAGTCCAATTTCAACCCAGACTGAGGAACTTCAATGAGAAAAATGTTCTTCTTTAGATATTGAATGCTATCCCTAAATGTATCCAGGTAACACTTAAAGGTTATTTCACTGGCAGTTCAGAAGAATTTCCCTGGCTCTACTGAAAAAAATAACTCCCAGAATGTAGATCAGTCAGCGACGCCACCTTTGTGAGGGAAGGGACTGCATGTTCTATAAGCTAAGAGATCCTAAGGTCTTGTAGATGGGCTGGTTGCAAACTTACCTCTAAGAGAGAATATGGAGAATTCTCAGTCAAGAATGTATTAGCAGCACATTCCTTCCAAGCCTGGACCTCAGCTACTAGTAATTCCAGTCTTGGTAAAGAATTTAGATGTACTGGGATAGATCGGCCTCGGGTAACAAGTTCTATGAGCGTGTCTAACACTGGCACGCGTCCTCCAACCTAACGAGTCAAGAGAAATTGTAGCAACTTAGAAAAAAGAGTACTTCTCTGCAAAGTGGGAAAAGCACAATTCAGAGTAGACCTACTCCATTATTTCAACATGTTAATTTCATAGAGATGGACAAAATTTGCCAGCTGACCAATGATAGTGGGGGTGTGGGTAACATGTCTTCCTTCACTTAACAAATACTTTAAAAGAACCTAGTTTGTGCTAGTCCCCAAGGATACAACTATGAACAGGACATACACTGTGATCTCTTTGTTGACTTTTTATGCCCTTCCTTGTCATCTTTTTTTTTTTTAAGATTTTATTTATTTGCAAGAGAGAGAATGAGGGACAGAGAGCATGAGAGGGAGGAGGGTCAGAGGGAGAAGCAGACTCCCTGCCGAGCAAGGAGCCCGATGCGGGACTCGATCCCGGGACTCCGGGATCATGAACTGAGCCGAAGGCAGTTGCTTAACCAACTGAGCCACCCAGGCGCCCTCACTTGTCATCTTGATCCCTATAGATAGCTTGAAAAAAATTAAAGAGAAATGTAGATTTGCAATAACTCAAAAGGTTTTCACGCTGACTTATGTTAACAAAAGCAACAATATTTTACTCCAATCCACCCAATGATGAAGTAACTCAGTATAAATTATTCAGAAAACTAAAATGAGGAAAAAGTCCCACTGGTTCTCAAACTTTCATATGCATTAAGAATAATCTGGAATGCTTATTTAAACAAGTTTCCTGGGCCCCACCCCTAGATATTCTGATTCAGGTCACCAGGGAAGAATCCATGAATTTACATTTCTTAACAAGTTTCCAGATGATGCTGATGCTTTTGGTACTGGGACCACATTTAAGGTGTTATTTGTTTATCTGAGTGAGAGAGAGAGTGAGCACAAGCAGGGAGAGGGGCAGAGGGGCAGAGAGGAGCAGATTCCCCACTGCGCAGGGAGCCCAATGCGGGGCTCTATCCCAGGATCCTGGGATCATGACCTGAGCCAAAGGCAGACACTTAACCGACTGAGCCACCCAGGCACTCCTGGCACCACATTTTGAGAATGAGAGACCCAAACTGGAAGAAGAATAAAAACATTAGGTTGGGTGTGGGGAGCACTAGTGTCCCTCTATACAATGGTAAATCTTAGCTTCACTAAGCAGGTCATCAAAATGTGTCTCCTGATGTGAAGCCATACAAAGTATATAGTATCAGCTGATATTTTGATATTATTCTAAGTAAAAAGTATTTAACTTCAATCCATCAACTCTTTGAAACTAACTTCCAATTTAGAGGAAACACCGAAGATAGAACATACCACAAGGAAATAACCAGACAAATCCAGAAGGTAGAACTTACCACGGGGTAACTATTCTAGACAGTGACATGAAAGAAAGTAGGGTAGGGAAGAAAACACCACAAGATTCAAAGAAACTTAAAGACACATGTCAATAAGGTACAACATGTGGTGGTGGACTAGATAAACAACCAGAAGGGAAATTTTTGGGGAAATTGGGGAAAACTGAATATAGACTAGGAACTTGATGTTTCACTCCTTTGGTATTTATTCTTACAGGATTGGAACTGTAAGTGTGTAAATGTTCTGCTAGACACTTAAAGTGACTCACAAAATACATGCTGTCTTTAATATTTAATTTAGAAATAAATGGAATGCTACCTATGTGTAAAGCAGAATACTGAGTAACATTGTAAAATACATAATCCACTAAATATGAAGAGGCTCCTTGTTGTTAGTCACATCTCTCCATTAGTCCTTAAGTATATGATGCAAGTAAAGGCCAGGCTATTATTTCAGGAATGGAGCAAAACTTGCTTTTTGTCCTTGTGGGCACTATTGAAAACAAAGTACTAAGTAGTATACACATTACAAAATATAAATAGAGCAAGCCTACCCAGAAATATGTCCTCTTTCTGACCTCACATGCTCATCTCTCCTTATTGCAATGACCTCACCTTGCCTTTCTGGCTGCCACCAATCATAAGTAAAAAGGGGGACTGTGATTAAAACTAATCAACTATAGTTCCAACCATCATTAACAAGAGCCTGCATCTAAAACTCCCATTAAGGAAGTTTATGTACACAGTAAATACTTCCCTTGGTTTTTTCTTTGGCTAGCTGGGGTCACCCCTTAATTAAGTAATAATATTTATCAAACAACAGCATATTCTCTCTTCCCTTTTAACTAGAATTGATGACCAGATGTTTTGTTGCAAACATCTGGCTAAATCTGCCTGGTTTGGCATTTCTTGTTAGCAAAATTAATCAATTAGCACAACTTAAAATTAGACAAATATTCAGAAAACCAGATAGTATTTTTTATTCTTGGAATCTGATGGCTTCAACAAAACAGAACTTGAGACTCAAGTATGAGATAAATTTTTAAAAACCTAGCACGTTGGGGCGCCTGGGTGGCTCAGATGGTTAAGCGTCTGCCTTCGGCTCGGGTCATGATCCCGGGGTCCTGGGATCGAGTCCCACATCGGGCTCCTGACTCAGCGGGGAGTCTGCTTCTTCCTCTCCCTCTGCCTCTCCCACTGCTCATGTTCTCTCTCTCTCTGTATCTCTGTGTCTCAAATTAATAAATAAAATCTTTAAAAAAAAAAAAATAAAAAAAATAAAAACCTAGCACATTAAATAATTCAAAGATCTTTTTTTCTCAATAGGTCCATAAGACCTACTGATCTACAAAGATTACGAAGATAAAGGAAGACACTCCCCACCAACCACTTTTCAAATGAAGTTATCCAGCTGCAATTGTGTAAATCACAGAATGCCTTTTGTCTGTACCTTAATAATGCTACAAGTGAATTTAACTCTTTTTTATTTAATTTTTTTTTTTAAGATTTTATTTAGTTATTTGACAGAGAGGGAAAGAGAGAGAGAGAGAGCACAAGCAGGGGGAGGAAACAGAGGGAGAGGGAGAAACACACTCCCCGCTGAGCAGGGAGCCCAACGCGGGGCTCGATCCCAGGACCCAGGGATCATGAACTAAGTCAAAGGCAGATGCTCAACCGACTGAGCCACCCAAGAGCCCCTGAATCTAACTCTTTTTTAACGTATAGGCAAGTCATTAAGTATGACATCAAACATAGGACCATATATACTTAGTGCTGATTACTTTGGAACTTGTTAAGTTTCATTTCTTTTGTAGGGGTAGGGAGGCGCTTTAAGTCACTACTTGGTGAGGGGCACCTGGGTGGCTCAGTTGGTTAAGCAACTGCCTTTGGCTCAGGTCATGATTCTGGAGTCCCAGGATCAAGTCCTGCATCGGGATCCCTGCTCAGCAGGGAGTCCGTTCTCCCTCTGACCCTCTATCTCATGCTCTCTTTCTTATTCTTTCTCTCACAAATAAATAAATAAAATCTTTAAATTAAAAAAAAAAAGTCACTACTTGGTGAAAAATTCCTACGCCCCGGCCTACTTTCGCCTTGTAATCATATAACCAGATTCATTACATCTGCTACTCTTGATTGTCTGTACTTGAAGTTGTTAAAAAGCCAACAAGAGACAACTGTACTCAAAGATCAGAAACTACCTTTCCCCCACAACTTCCATTTTTAGCTTTCTCTTCGATCCTTTTTTTTTTAAGATTTTATTTATTTATTTGACAGAGAGAGAGAGAGAGAGCACATGCACAAGGAGGCAGAGCAGCAGGCAGAGGGAGGAGGGAGGGAGAAGCAGGCTCTCTGCTGAGCAGGGAGCCCAACGCAGGGCTCAATCCCAGGACCCTGGGATCATGACCAAGCTGAAGGCAGACGCTTAACCGACTGAGCCACTCAGGCGCCCATACTTTATCTTCAATCCTTAACCAAGTACTCAAGTTTGTTAAGAAGATCCCAAGCTCCCAGAAAAAGTTGGTTGAATTATCTAAACTTTATTGAGCCAACTGGTCAGGACAATAGATGGGTAAGTACATTTACATAAGGTTGAATAAATTATTAATCTGGCCAACCGAAAAGACTGAATCTGTATGGTGAAATCCAACATAGTACCCTTTATTAAATTATTACTCTTCATAGATGCACTTATACACTCAAGACATTTTTTTCTTTTTTCTTTTCTTTTCTTTATTTATTTGACGGAGAAAGAGAGCACAAGCAGGGAGAGGGAGAAGCAGGCTCCCCGCTAAGCAGAGAGCCCGATGTGGGGCTCCATCCCAGGGCCCTGGGATCATGACCTGAGCCAAAGGCAGATGCTTAACCGACTGAGGCACCCAGGCGCCCCGAGACATTTTTTTCTTAAACCAACCTGCAGGGCCTCCACATCCTGAAGCCAGTCCCTGGCTCTCTGCACTGAGTCTTTCAGAGCTGCACCATTTGGCAGATATGCGGGGATCTCCTCAATTTCCTTAACTGCTGTAGCAAGGCTGTTCAATGAATGCCGAGGTCTACAAAAATGAAATATAAGAACTACTTAACATTTTATATGGTGGTTCATTTTTCTTAAGGTTTACTAAATAAGCTAGAAAAACCATTTCAAAAGAAATTCAGTATAGCAAATAAATTTTTTTCAAATGTCAATAACTACTAGATATCAAATTAAGTTTCAAATGTCTGCATAAAACTTAAGAGCATCTAAGATAAAGGAAATGACCCAGTGAAACATTTAAGTTTTACTTATCCCTGATTTTATCCTGCTATAACCACAAACTTTTCATTTGCATTAGGTAACTTAATGATAATTTACTGTGTTGAACTACATACACTGTCAAGATTCATACCGTTTCACTAAGAAAATTTAAATTCTCTAGGGTATCAACATACCAAAAGCATAGTATCAAAAAATATGCTCTCTGCTCAATGACCACTATTTTAGGGTTACAAAAGAATGTCTGTAACCATGTATTTTTTTTCTTGTACTCTATGTTATCAACTGGACCAATGAAGATCTGTTAGACAGAAAGCAAAATTAAGGAGGGGTGATCTTTCTCCCCTCAGATGGTTTACTTGAGTCCAATCAAATCTCTCTCACACGGGTAAGGTGTCCTGAATTACTAAGGAACGGCAAAAATGTACATTCCTATTCCTGTTGGTAATTACTGGCACTATCTTCATTTTACAGAATGGTGTCAGTAAGACTCCTTGGGAATTTATTAACTGTGGGTTTAAATAGTTTTTCACTTTTTTGTAAAACTTTTTCTTCTCTCAAAGATGGTATCATTGGGGCCCAAAGAAATTTCATTAAAACAACTCTAGAAAAGGCAATTCCATCTGAACCATTCCTTTTTCAATCAGTAAAGTAAGAAGAAAATTAATACTCTTTTACTCAAGTTCCAAAGCAGCCCCAACATCTCAACTATTTCTACATGTATTCTACATGTACAGCTGCAGCTTTTGAACATCGGTCACATGCCAATCACTGTGCTCTACTGCTCTAAGATGAACATATTACCCAACCTTCCCCGAGAGAGAGGTGAGTTTGCTTTTTTACCTGGCCTTGAGAAGACTCTTGGCTTTGTCATCCCAGTGCTCTGACACTGTAAGCAGTTCCTGAAGCCGGGCCATTGCTTTCTCCACTGCTGAATATGGGGCCAGACCCACCCCTAGGTCTATGAGACGTCTCATATCATCTAATGTAAGGGAGCTGGGGTCTAGGCAAGCTTGCTGCACCTCTTCTAGCCAACGGGCCTGCTCCAGACGAATACGCATCTCAGCAAGCTGTGGAAGTTCAACATCAAATTCAAAGCTGACATCTAGCAAGTCTTGCAGCTCTGCAGCACTGGGCATTTCCTCAGAGAGCAATTTCTGGCTATGCTGTTGGAAATCTTCTACACGATTCAGGAGATCCTAAAAAAACACAGGTTGTTGTATCAAAATAGTAATTTCAGTAATTGGATTCTTTAGAATCTTGAATACATATTCAATGTGACTCTTCCATCTCATAGGATTTTAGCAATAGTATGGGCAAATGAGATAATATATAACCCAAATGACAGCTAAAAGAAGTGACTATAACAGACCTTTTACCAACTGCAAGGAGTAGCAGGTGGTTACTTTTAAGGTAAAAATTTCCAACTTTATCTCTCCTTTGTAGGCCTGTTATAATCTCTTTATACACACACACACACACACACACACACACCACTCAGTAGATTATTAAAAACATCTGCAGGGCGCCTGGGTGGCTCAGTTGGTTGAGCGACTGCCTTCGGCTCAGGTCATGATCCTGGAGTCCCGGGATTGAGTCCCGCATCGGGCTCCCTTCTCAGCAGGGAGTCTGCTTCTCCCTCTGACCCTCCTCTCTCTCATGCTCTCTATCTCATTCTCTCTCAAATAAATAAATAAAATCTTTAAAAAAAACAAACAAAATAAAACATCTGCAAATAAATGTACAAATTAACCACCCAAGATGACTTAATCACGTCAACTGAATTTATTTACAAACTAGAGGATTACCAAAGTGCTTCCCCACACATCCCTAAGTGTTACCTTTAGCAAAGGTGTTTGACTAAGGACACATGGAAGCGCATACAGCTGTGTCACAAACTGTCGGAGCTCATTCACTGTCAATTGATTTTGGGATTTTCCTCCACCAGATCGGTATCTATAAAGACAAAGTCCCAAAGAAGCCATGAGAATATGATATATTCACCATTCTCAGATTCAATGTCACAGGAATACTGAACAGAAGGAAAAACTACTCACAACAGGTTCCCAAGTTTAGTCACCAAAGAGTCCAAACTCAAACGGAAGTACATACCTAGTTTGCCTTTTGCCATTAAGCAGCTGCTGAGCAACAGAAGCACACTTCTCTGCATCCTGTGTGACTAAGCGAAGGTGACGCAAAAGATCATTGTCTGGGAATTTCTTCATTTCAGATTCTTCAATTAAAGCCTTAAAGCTGACAAGGCCTAGGAATAAAGAAAAGGTCATTTTTTCTGTGTTCATTATGTTTATTAGGAGTGGTATGAAATACAAAAGGAGAGTTTGCTTTTATATTTGCAATGTTTTAAATCATTAATAAATTTGTTCATTTAAGGGATGCCTGGGTGGCTCAGTTGGTTAAGCGTCTGCCTTCGGCTCAGGTCATGATTCCAAGGTCCTGGAATCGAGTCCCGCATCAGGCTCCTTGCTCAGCGGGGAGCCTGCTTCTCCCTCTCTCTCTGCTGCTCCCCCTGCTTGTGCTCTCTCTCTCTGACAAATAAATAAATAAAATCTTAAATTTGCTCATTTAATTTTTATTTTTTGGCTAAGGATAGAGTGTTTTATTTTTATTTTTTAAGTTTTATTTTATTTTTAAATAATTTCTATACCCAATGTGGGGCTCGAACTCACGACCCTAAGATCAAGAGTCGCATGCTCTTCCAACTGAGCCAGCCAGGAGCCCCTTTAGAGTGTTTTATTTTATTTTATTTTTTTTATTAGATTTTATTTATTTATTTATTTATTTGAGACAGAGAGAATGAGAGACAGAGAGCATGAGAGGGAGGAGGGTCAGAGGGAGAAGCAGACTCCCTGCCGAGCAGGGAGCCCGATGCGGGACTCGATCCCGGGACTCCAGGATCATGACCTGAGCCGAAGGCAGTCGCTTAACCAACTGAGCCACCCAGGCGCCCCCCCTTTAGAGTGTTTTAAACACAAGTGCCTAGAGCTGCTCTTCAGTGTGGAAATGTTTCAGGGGCACCTGAGTGGCTCTGTCGTTAAGCGTCTGCCTTTGGCTTAAGTCATGATCCCAGGGTCCTGGGATTGAGCCCTGCATCGGGCTCCCTGCTCGGCAGGAAGCCTGCTTCTCCCTCTCCCACTCTCCCTGCTTTTGTTCCCTCTCTTGCGGTCTCTCTCTGTCAAATAAATAAGTAATTTTTAAAAATCTTTAAAAAAAAATATTTTTAAAAATGTGGAAATGTTTCAGAGATGGAAAACAATGGACTTGTCAAAACAAGGCAAATGTAGATCTCTCATTGTTGCATAGACCAGTCCTTTCTCCTGCACTTTGTAAGTGATGGGAAAGGAAGTTGTGACTTTCAAGGTAATAACAAGAGACAGAAACTGTGACTTTGATTAGCACTCAAAAGTGATAAACCAGAAACTCCTAATTTAATAACATGCTTCCTTTGTGTTGGGGGTTGGTGGATTATATTAATTTTAAAAAAACATTTTAAAAATGTTTTTCTAAGGTTCCACATAAAATGTGAAATATTTTTGTTTCTGAGACAAGAGGTGTAAAGGTTATTCCGTTTCCTAACAATATGATCTTTGTTAAAAACATGATCTTGTACAATTCATCTATCAAGATTTTCCTCTAAGGGCATCTGCCTAATCCACTCATGGCTTTAAAACTTTCTCTGCTTACACTCCATAAACCTGGTTAAACAGGGGAACTAAACAAGGACAAAGTCAGGTTATTTCAAGTAATCTGTTCATTGATAACTATGTTGGCTACATTACAATCAGTCCCAATTTGCCAATCAGCAAGCTACATTTTGTATAACACATACTTTTCTTTTTGTTAATCTTTGCCTCCAAAGCTTCATTCACATTCAGGGCCCATTCATTGTAAGATTCTGCTCGAAGCTTCAGTGCATTCATCATGGGGTAGAGATCATCCAGAGTGTATCTATACCTGGAAACAGAATAGCAGACTTAGTTTTGAGATATCTGGGTTTGGAGAAAATCATACACTTTATATTCAGTATTTCAATCCTAGAACAGAAATGTCACTGAGCTTTCATTAAGGATTTAGGGTTTTCCATAGAAAAAGACCATTCTTCCTACTCACCTCAGTTTATATTTATAAGGAGGACAGGAACACAATTCTTTTACATGATGGAGGCAAACAAGCAGGCCAGGTTTACAAGAACAGGAGATGGCAGACATGAAGCATGTGGTTTTACATTTTATACACTGACGCTCATCATCTGGCAACAGCTCAAAATCCATTCTTTCCGAATCAATTACTCCCTAGAATAAAGTGTACTTTAGAGATTTCCAAAGGATAATATAATCCACCAACCCCCAACACAAACACGTAATAGTTGAGTTTTAAAATTAAAAAAAAAAAAAAAAAAGGGAGTAGGGGCAGCCTTACCAAAATAGAAGTGCGTGATTAAAAATACGTAAAAGTAACAATGACCTAGCAAATATGGGCCAGGTAAACTACCTCACTTGTTTGGGAAGAACCTCTTTTTGGACAAGGTAGATCCTTATGTTTGGCCATTTTGATCAGAGTATGAAAACATTTATTAATAGGACTGTAAACTATTGAGATTTGCTCTTTATTCTACTCCAAATTGGCTCTACCCATAGTTTGGGTATAGATGAAAGGAGTAAGGGCGCCTGGGTGGCTCAGTCATTAAGCGTCTGCCTTCGGCTCAGGTCATGATCCCAGGGTCCTGGGATCGAGCCGCTCATTGGGCTCCCTGCTCCGTGAGGAGCCTGCTTCTCCCTCTCCCACTCCCCCTGCTTGTGTTCCTGCTCTCGCTATCTCTCTGTCAAATAAATACATAAAATCTTTAAAAAAAAAAAAAAAAAAAGAAAGGAGTAAAAGAAATGTATATACTTTGTACTTCAGAGGAAATATTATATAGGACGTCAGATTAATACCGGTAGCTAGAGAATCCATAAAAAGAACAAAAGTAAATAAAAAGGAAAGAAGATGAAAAGACTATCATGAAAGGATTATTGATGGGAAGATGCTGAATAGTCAATTAGCTTTCACATGCAAAGTTACCTAAAGGGATATTATTTATCTGAAAATGTTAGAAATATATACAAGACACTAAAGCCATAATAAATCATTTCCTAATTGAAACAGTGTCAAGAAAAATGAGGTCTTAAAAAGTAAATTTCAACTGCAGTTTGTAACACCTAGAGAGCCCTCCCTACAATATACCTTTTGTCACTGAAAGATCAAGCTCCGACCACCTTTTCTCCTTATCCAAAACTGGATCCAAATCCAACCATGAGAATGCCAGAATCTGATTAAGTCAATTTATGAACCATCTGTTTTATTCTGACCACTTCACTTCCTGCTGATTACATGGACCAACAAAGACAGAGGAGAGTAAGAAACCCACTAATGAATGAATTTTGGTTTTAAACCAGAACTGATCAGGGATGCCTGGGTGGCTCAGTTGGTTAAGCCTCTGCCTTTGGCTCAGGTCATGGTCCCAGGGTTCTGGGATCGACTCCTGCATCGGCCTCCTTGCTCAGAAGGGAGCCTACTTCTCCCTCTCCCTCTACCTGCCGCTCCCCCTACTTGTGCTCTCTCACTCTCTCTCTCTCTAACAAACAAAATCTAAAAATAAATAAATAAATAAACTGGAACTGATCATTAAAAAGGACTTCAAGATAAAAATGGTTGCAATTTTTACTTAAAATGAGATTAAGGGCCAACTTTATGGATCTTAGTTGAGAATGAATCATATACAGTTCGCCCAATTTTAATTTGTCAGTTTCCATATCTGGAAAAAAAATGTAAATCCTCAAAGTTCCACAGATGAGTTACCATTATTTAATTATTTATTTTTAAAGATTTTGTTTATTTGACAGAGAGAGACACAGCAAGAAAGGGAACACAAGCAGGGGGAGTAGGAGAGGGAGAAGCAGGCTTCCCACCGAGCAGGGAGCCCAATGTGGGGCTCGATCCCAGGACCCTGGGATCATGACCTAAGCCGAAGGCAGACGCTTAACGACTGAGCCACCGAGTTACCACTATTGATGTAAGACCTTAGTAAGGCACTTAAACCCTCTGGGCATTGTTTTCCCTAACTGTAAAATATCAGGGGAAGGTGAATAAGCTTGCTGTTGGTCCATAACAGGCTTCAGAGAGCCAACATTCAAGGATTCTATCTAAAAAGTCACATAAAAAAAAAAAGTTAATGTGACTCTATTTGCAGATACCACTGTCCCAAAATAATCTAAAAAAGGCCAGTAGAACAATGAGTTTAGCAAGGTTGCAGGACATAAAAAGTCAATATACAGAAATCAATTATATTTATAAATACTAGCAATAAACCGTTTGAAATAAAAAAATTTTAAGGTATCATTTATAATAATATCAAAAACCGGGCGCCTGGGTGGCTCAGTTGGTTAGGCGACTGCCTTCGGCTCAGGTCATGATCCTGGAGTCCAGGGATCGTGTCCCGCATCGGGCTCCCTGCTCAGCAGGGAGTCTGCTTCTCCCTCTGACCCTCCCCCTCTCATGTGCTCTCTCTCAAATAAATAAATACAATCTTTTAAAAAAAAAAAAAAAACCCAAAGTACATCATTTTAAACCCAAGAAAATATGTGTAAGATCTGTGTGCTGCAATCTACAAAATAATGAAAGAACTCAAGAAGACCTAAATAAATGGTTCATATACTATGTCCATGAATTGGAAGACTTAACATTATTAAGATATCAATTCTCCCAACTATATTCATGGATTTAATGGCGTCCCAATGAAACCCTAGCAAGATTTTTGGTAGAAATCTATAAGCCAATTCTCAAATTCATATGGAAAGCAAAGGAACTAAAATAGCCAAACCAATTTTTAAAATGAACAAAGTTGGAGGACTCACACTATCTCATTTCAAGACTTATTACAAAGTTAGAGTAATCAAAACCATATGGTTAAGAGCAAGAGAATAAATGCATAGGTTAAGAGAATAAAACAAAGTCTAGCAATAGACCCATATATATATATGTGGTGAACTGATTTCAAAACAAAGGTGCCAGGGCATTTCAATGGAAAAAGAATGTTAGTCTCAAGAAATGGTGCTGGAACAATGAGAAATCCATATGCAAAAAAAGTAATTTCAACCCACACCTTGCACCATAAATAAAAATTACCTGAGATGGATTAAAGATTTACATGTAAAATCTAAAACTAAAAATTCTAGAGGACTAACAGGAGAAGGTCTTTGTGACTTTGGGTTAGGTAAGATTTCTTAAAGACATAAAGACAAAGGGGTGTCTTAGTCGGTCAAACATCTGACTCGTCAGTTCAGGTTGTGATCTCAGGGTGGTGAGATCGAGGCCCACCTCAGCGGCGAGTCTGCTTCAGATTCTCTCCCTTTCCCCCTGCCCTCCCCCCCCCACAAAAAAGATGCATAAAAGAAACTGCTTAATTGAACTTCATCAAAATAAAAAACTTCTGCTATTAGAAAGACAGTGCTCTGAGACTGAAAAAATAAGCACTGACTGGAAAAAATATTTGCAGAACACTTATCTGATAAAGGACTGGTATACAGAATGAATAGAAATCTCGCAACAACCCAATAAAAAAGGGGGTGGGGGAAAGTATCTGCACAGTTCATCAACGAGATACATGTACAAAAAGCAAATATGTACATACGTGATAGGGTGTTCAGTAAATGAGTGGCCCTTAGAGAAAATTAAAACCACAATGAGATATTAACACACATCTATCAGAATGGATCTTAAAGGACATTAGCCTAAGAAGAGACTCCTTAAAGTGGAAGCAACATGTGTAAGAATTTTCCTGAGGAATACCCAGACACATGCAGCTGGGGTGCCAGAAACCTTACCAGTCTGCGGACGGCTTCTCTTAGAGCCTTCTCATCCTCAGTCATAACGGCCATGTCCTTCTGAACAGTTGAGGCCACTACGACATCTAGTACGTCCGCCTTGGAGGCCATCTTGCAAATCATCTCGTCATGGGAAAATACGCAATAGCGGTGAAGCAAGCGGTAATGCTCCACACACTGTCGGCCCAGTGGCAGCTGTGTCAAGAGACAGAGGATAGTACTTGACATTCACCTTTCTCCTTCCTATTTCCAAAGACTCCTGAGCATTACCCAATTACCAAAGGTCATATTCTGGGTCATGATACACGTATCAACCCTACAGCCAGCTTCTAAGAGGCCTTGGGCCTTTTTTAATCTTTGCATCTCAAGGATCTGGCATATTAGGTACCTTAATTAAAAGGCAGTTTAAAAAACCCAACGTACGGTGGGTGGTGCCTGGCTGGCTCAGTCAAAAGAGCATGCAACCCCTGATCTTGGGATTTTGAGTTCCAGCCCCACAATGGGTGTGGAGATTAATTAAATAAATAAAGACATTTTTTAAAAACCCAATATATTAACAATGTATTAATGTCCAGAACAACACACAGTCTAAATGGACATGTGAATTTAGACATTTCCTGAAACAACTATGCTGAACTGCTGTGGTTAAACCTACTTCAGGGAACAATGATGCTCCAAACTACATAATGGAAAATAATTTTAGATACAGGTAGTACTATTACTTAGTAAAGCACTGAAACAAGGTTATAATTCATTAGAGTTAACATCACACACTTAAACTAAATCTTTTTATGTAAATGAAAAGTATTAATACTAATATAAAAATTCTACTTTACAACTAAAACCAAATACATCATTAAAAATTGCTGTGTTGTAGATAATTTAAGCTAGTGTTGTGTAGACTTAAGATAGAACTCTTTGTTATGAGTTTGCAACAATACTGAATTTTGCCCAAAATGTAAATCAACACTCATTTATTCATCAAGCCAAACTTTTACAGAAGAAAAAATTATCAGCTGAACCGAGCAGTGTGCTTAGTTAGTACAGGCTTGATTTACAGTGTGGTGCCAAGTGCTTTATCCCACTGTGGATGGTAAACAATTTGTAGACCAGCCATTTGAGGAGCAACAGATTTAAGCACCACACATGAAAGCTTTTAAAGTATTATATGCCATTTCTGCAGGAAAACAATACATTTGAAAAGGCTCACTAAGTCATAATTACATACCCAATCAACAGTGCAGAAGTTAACAGCCTCAGCAAAATTAAAACCTTGATTAAAACCACTGTGGTAGGCTCTTGGAAATGTAATCACAAACTCCCCAGCACACTGATTAGTTCGGTAAACCTAAAGAGACAGAAATTGGGGATCTTTAGTGACATTCATGAAAGACAATCTGGACACAGACTATCAGATGATTCTCCAGAAAGAGAAGCTTTCTTCCAATTAAAAGTGAGCTAACAAAAAAGAATTACGGTAAAATAATCAGAGAGCTACTCAATTCTGCCACAAGATGGAGTAGCATCCCAGATTATGAGGGTTGATTAGTATCTGAACAGAAAACATGGCTTTTACTACAAAAATTTATCTATACTCAGGATTAGGACACATCTAAATATAACTAAATTAAGAATATTCTAATATTATTATACCAAAACAGCATCTCCTACCACCAATTAATGAAATTCCACTGTTCTTCCAAGTACGTCATCCCATAAAGAGATCTTGATTTAGGCCTCAAACTTCCCTCCCTCCAACAAGTCCCCTTTTCCCACCACCCGCTCAAAAAACATCTGTAGTAAGGCAGCAATCTCTTGGATATTAGCCTTAGCAACATTTTCCTGGATAGGTCTTAGGCAAGGGAAACAAGCAAAAATAAACTATTGGGACTACAGCAAGCTAAAAAGCTGTTGAACAGCAAAGGAAACCATCAATAAAAATGAAAAGGCAAAAAAAAAGAAAAGGCAAGCTACTGAATGGGAGAAGACATCTGCAAATGATACATCCAATAGGGGATTAATATCCAGAATAAAGAACTCCTACAACCCAACACCAAATAAATAAATAAATAAATAATCCAATTAAAAAACAGACCTGAATAGACATGTTGCCAAAGAAGATAAACAGATGGCCAACAGGTACATGAAAAGATGCTCAACATCGCTAATCATCAGGAAAAGGCAAATCAAAACCACAGTGAGAGATCATCTCACATTAGAATGGCTAATATCAAAAAGACAAATAAGTCTTGGCGAGAATGTGGAGAAAAGGGAACCTTTGTACACTGCTGGTGGGAATGTAAATTGGTGCAGCCACTGTGGAAATATGTGCACCCCTGTGTTCAATGCAGCAATATTTACAACAGCCAAGATATGGAAGTAACGTTAAGTGTCCACTGATAGATGAATGAATAAAGATGTGGTATAAATACGGAACGGAATATTACTCTGCCATTAAAAAAAGAAAGAAAGAAAGAAAGAAAGAAAGAAAGAAATCTTGCCATTCACAACAACATGGATGGACCCAGAGAGTGATTATATTATGCTAAGTGAAATATGGCAAAGAAAAATACCATGATTTCTAAGTGGAATCTACCCCAACAAAACAAATAAACAAAACCAGAAACAGAGTAATAAACATAGAGAACAAACTGGCGGTTGCCAGAGGGGAGAGGGTGGGGGCATGGGCAGAAGGGTTGATTAAGGGGTACAAACTTCCAGTTATAAAAAAAATAATAAAAATAAATAAGTCTCAGGGACAAAAGGAGAGCATAGGGAATATAATCAATAATAACTCTGTATGGTGACAGATGGTAACTACACTTACTGTGTTGAGCATTTCGCAATGTATAGAACTGTCAAATCACTATGATGTACAACTGAAACTAATGATATATGTCAACTATACTTCAATGAAGTTTTAATTTAAAAAAACTATACTGCTCTAGGCACACAAATCCTCAGACTGAACTTATGAAATAAGAAAATTAAGTATCTTTTCAATGTATCTCTCTCCATCAGTGGTTGTCCAAAATGTAGTTCCCGGACTACCAGTATCAACACCAACTGGGAACTTGTTGAAAATGCAAACTCTCGAGCACCACCCAGACCAACAGAACAAGAAACCCTGGGGGTGAAGATCGGCCACATGTGTTGTAACCTGCCATTCGGGGTTCAGATATAGTCAGAAATTTGAAGACCACTACCTACACCACATGAGCACAATCCCTTCTACTGGAGTACTCCCTCCACCCCAAATCTGCCAAAAATATTCCTTATCAGAGCTCCAAGTTTTAGTTCAAACGGTCATTACGGGTCCTTTCTAATTCTCCATAGAGTTAATGGGTCAGTCTCCTAGTTGATACCACTGTCAGACCACACCACCATGCCATTATCTGTATAAACATTATCTGCCTGTCCCCTTAAACTACGAGTCCCCAAATGCACAGGTTCACTCATCTCTGTGGTCCAGAATCAAGCCCCAAAGGTTCCTCAATTTAATAACTGAGAACCATGGCCAGAGGTCCCACTTAGAGCAAGTTACTTACAACAAATCAGAAACATCAATCAATATGAGGGGGAAAAAATCAATGTGGAAAATACCAATGAGGAGATGGTGGCATTTTTGTATTTACTGGTCATTATTTTCTAAGCTATTGTCCATGAATAATTTATTATCCCTCAAAGAAAAATCCTTTCCATCTGCCCCCATTTACCAGCCTGTGAGCCCCAAAGCATGAAATTTAGGTCACAGCAACATTAGGTATTCACTTTAGCACAGTAAATGTATCATTTACATTTGACTTAGCTAACTAAGATGGACCCCTCAACTTCATACATTTCAGTCTGGCCTCCCAAAATATCTTCAGAGCATTCTCCAATAGGAAGCCAGTATACAAATTTTGTATAGCAACCTCCCAGGCAACATCACCAACAGCACCTTTCAGTCTAGATACCCTTAAATCCAAGCTCAAGAGCCTGAAATTAATTTTCTCTTTAGGAGTACCTGGATGCCTCAGTTGGTTAAGTGGCTGCCTTTGGCTCAGGTCATGATCTCAGGGTCCTGAGATGGAGCCCCCCCATGTTGGGGCTCCCCACTCACTGGGGAATCTGCTTCTCCCTCTCCCTCGGCTCCTCCCCCGCACTTGTGCGCTCTCTCTCTCTCAAATAAATAAATAAAATCTTAAAAGTAAAAAATAAATAAATAAATAAGCAAGCTTAATTAGGGGTGGAGGTATAATATAACCAATATCTACTAAGCATGTAAATCATTTCAGTTTATCATTCAAAATTAAGTTCATGTAGATTCCATAAATTATTTTTTAAGTATGGACAGAGTATGAAGGATTCTGACACTAGAGTTTAGATCTAACTGTAACAGAACCTAGACATTTTCATAGTAATTTATACAGACAAATAACATTAAGGTTTTTGTTTTGTTGCATTGGAAGATTGAAGTTATAAGGAAAAATTATAGTTTAGAAAGCCTAAATTAGACACTGAAAAAAAGAAAAGAAAGCATCACACATATTATTTGCAAAATATGGCTGCTTAGCAACCTAGTTATTAGCTGCAACAAATTAGTTTTATGGTGTCTTGAGGATTCAGTCCTACTGGCTTATTGCAATATAGTATCAAATTCCACCTAACAGCTGTTTCTGCTATCCAGTTATGGTATGGAACACACATAACTAAAATCAACTTCATAAAAAACTGAGTAAACAGGGAAGAGAAGTGGTGAATTAAGCCTGAATACAAGAGGAACATACAGGCACTTCATGAGTCATCAGGGTATTGGGGTTCATGATGGTCACAAGCTGATGGAGAAGATCTGGTTGGGACACAAAGAGCTCTGGAGCTAGTTTCTTCATTACATTTTCTAGCTGCTCGGCAGCATACCCTGGGACTCCATACCAGGTTTTTGGCTCACCCCTGGAAAGAGATTGTAAAAATAAATCAATCTCAAGAAATACATAAACATGAAATTTCATTAGAAAAAAATCAGTCTGCAACACTAACACAAAATGGTTAACAAGTCATATTTTTCAGACCCTGCTTTGTAAGATTATGCTACAAAGGAATGTTCAAACTGAATTAAGTGTCATTAGAAATGTGATCTGAACATATGTGATGCATTCTCCCCCTTCAAGTATGGAGTTTAAATATGAGACTTTCCATCTGAGGTCCCCCCTCCTCCCTCCCATTTTTATCTGACTTTTTAGAAAATGTAAATATCTAGAATTTTTAAGAATATAAGACATCATGTTAGCTACAGGATATGTGGTTACCACAATTTCTTATAGCAACTGACAAGGAATGGCAACTTTCCATCTTCCTTTTCCCTTGTCCATTCTGACAGGCGAGGTTAAACACTAATAAGGCAATTAGCATTTCTAAAGAGCTCTTATTCTTCAAAGCACTTTAAACTGTCAACCAATTAATCTGTAACATCCCTGTGAGGTATGGTAAATATAATCCTCATTTTACAGCTGGGAGCAATTGCCTAGGGAGGCAGAACTGATGCTCCACATACACTTCCCAACTCTCTTTCTTGTGGTACACCCTCAAATTCCTTGTGTGGGGATTTAAGTGAGTTACAGATCTTCAAATATTTCTGTACTTAGAAAAGCAAAGGAAATGGACGGGGTAAAAACAGATGTGAAAGAAGAAATGGCTTTGTCTAAAGAGTTTAAAAAGTAAAAAAAAGTCTGAATATCTGCACCCTGCCTCCATGCACTCATGCACGGATGAAGCCCATTCTACTATGTGTAACAATGCCAAAATGCAGCACAATAAACCAGAAGCTGGCAATCCCAAGGACCTGGAGGACACTCTGGGACCTATATTCCCCTACTCTTCCAAAAGGTATCTGGGCTGCCACTGCCACAGAATGGGATTTCTCCATAATAAAAGCAATGTTCAGTGCTTTTTTTTTTTTTTTTTTTTATTTGAGAGAGAGAGAGAATGAGAGACAGAGAGCACGAGAGGGAAGAGGGCAGAGGGAGAAGCAGACCCCCTGCTGAGCAGGGAGCCCGATGTGGGACTCGATCCCGGGACTCCAGGATCATGACCTGAGCCGAAGGCAGTCGCTTAACCAACTGAGCCACCCAGGCGCCCTTGTTCAGTGCTTTTTAATCTTTCCATGAGTAAAGGCTTCTTTCACTAACAGCTGTCTATCCCCTCCTCAGAAACATGTTATACTTGAAAAATAGTGTGTGTGCAATTGTAGGGGATTTATGGATTTCCTAGGATCCTTAAGAACCAGTGCCTTAGCTTGTTAAGATGCCTGATTCAACAGTAGTGAAAAAACAGTTTGTTACTCTTTAGACACATTTAAAAAGTTTCCAGCCCAGCTTGCATACTATTCATAGGTTATGTGGAACTTCTTACCAGTGCAGGTAGTTAATTGAATAGCTCCAGTGGTCTTCAATATGCCAACAGAATGAAGAAAAGCACATTCCCACATACAACCAAGGAAGTTTCATGCCACATATATCAGCAGTAATGTGAGCAAGGACAGACTGCTCCATCACTGGCATATTGTTCAAATTCCAGCCACTATCAAGATACTCCTAGAAAGGAAACAAAAAAGGTATAAAGATTTAGCTATACATGCTAACATTTTAGATTCTCGATGTTTCGAAAGTAATGTGCTGAAAGTAATCATAAATTATTTCAAGCCAACCAAATAGAATTTTAATTAATAATTCAAGTTCAGGGGCGCCTGGGTGGCTCAGTCTTTAAGCGTCTGCCTTCGGCTCAGGTCATGATCCCAGGGTTCTGGGATCGAGCCCCACACTGGGCTCCCTGCTCCGCGGGAAGCCTCCCTCTCCCTCTCCCACTCCCCCTCCTTGTGCTCCCTTTCTCGCTGTGTCTCTCTCTGTCAAATAAAGAAATAAAATCTTAAAAAAAAAATAGTAATAATAATTCAAGTTCCAACTACATGTAGGTTTGCAGTAAGGCTATTAATCCTGTACTATGCCCTTTAGATAAAGATATGCTGAACTATTAGGTTTAAACACAGGTCTCTGCTTGAAACAGAAGTGCCTCACAGAGCCTACCTCCTCCTCAGGTGAAAGTTTGATTTTCCCATCTCGGACAGGGAAGCCACTGCCAAATTCTTTTGAGGCAATATCGGCTCCATATTCTACTGTGACATCCTCTTCAATAGTGCTTACCAGCCGCCAAAATTCTTTCTCAACTAGTTCTGTGGGAACCATCTGGAAACAAAACAACGAGGAAAACAAAAAACTGAATTTTCAGACACTCACAAACTGCCCATGACCAATCTGAAGACATTAGCTAAGTGACAGGAATCACAGGACAACACCCTAAGGAAAATTATATCCATATTGTTCCACAATTGATCCCAGGCAGTTTAGACATGTGTATTATTTTCTAAAAGCAATTATATAACTAAAAAAGTAAGTACTGATTAAGAATTCATGTTCCTCTACCACCAACCTGGCCAGTACACTAAAAGGAAGTCAAAGAAAAAGCAAAATTCTGACAACCAAAACCTGGAGATGTTCTTGTGCGTGAGAAATGTAAATATGTAACTTGGTTAACCATTATACAGTAATAGCTGTGTCTGAATGACACTTCATCCATCGAGATGTGTTCAAACACATTACCTGAGTCCATCCTTTCACTCTTTGCACTAGACCCGGCTAAGAATAACGCAGGCAACCACGATGAAAAAGACAGAGTGCAAAATATGAACACAAAGAGCAATTACTCTGCAGCAGCATGCAGTAGTACCGCGAGTCACCAGACTGCATGTCTAGGATCTGTTAATCTGATGCAAGTCTAGAGAAAGGTAACTTAAATGCCTTAAATATGCACACCACCAGGACTGGATACGCAAATATACTGGGAAATCATACAATGGATGAGGGGGTCAAAAGAACTGAAATTCAAAGGGAGTATAACTTGAATTTAAGCCTCTTAAGTAAGCAAACATTTTAAGTCACTTAACAGCTTATGCTAGTGCTATCAGGGAAAAACAAGTTCACACATACATTGCTGGGTTCCCATAAATGATACAGCCATTACAGTGGGGGAAAAAACGGGTAAATACTCTCATCTGACCTCAGTAAGCACTCCGAGAAAATAATCCAACTAAAGAGGTCTACATGTGTGAAATGTCTGCCTTAGCACTTCGTTGGCAAGTGAGAAAAAACACAGCTTACAGGTCCAGAATTAGGGCAGAAAACCATTTAATTCTGGTGGACTCACTTGACAGAATGTTAAATGCCGAATTAAATAGCCTTATGCTTCTAAGAGCATAAAGGAGAATTTAAAATGAACTCATCCTAAAGTTTACGATACTAACTTACAACAATATATAAATGTGTTCTCAATGCATAGGAGTCAGTCAATAAATTGTGAAGTTTTCTTTAAATTACATTTGTTGAACTGAAAGCATTCCTGATGATTTCCTTTATTAACATCCTGTTATTGCTGCTGTATGATTTGTGTGGAAAAGGTCATCTTTAGAGAAATCACAAGTGAAAAATCAGAATGCATTTTAACATATTGTGGAATTTCAATACCATTAAACAAATTAAGGGGGTTCACTGTGTATGATAATGTTTATCAAAAAAAAGTGCCAAGTGAAACTGTCTTCAGATTCTAAAAGTTATTAAAATCCCAAATCAAAGCAGTATGTATGTACATACGTGGACGGGCATGTTGAAATAATCAGATTTGAACGCATCTGCCATTTCCCCAAAAGTACGGAGGGTATAGTCCCTGGCTGCTTGTTCAAAGCCAAATGCTTCTTGTGGCTTACTACACTCCTGCCAAAAAGGAAAAAAAAAAAAAAAAAGTAAAAAGAATATTTTTATTTATAGATAGTTATATTTTATTGATATTATTTTTAAAAAACAGATTAGTAAAATTACGTATGCAGTGTTTAAAATACAAAAATGTCTGGATGGATATACATCAAAATAACTTGTCTAGCAATTATGAAATCATACTCTCTTTTAAGTCATTCAGTCTAAGAATTTTTGCAAAGAACATGCAATGCTTTTTTAAATAAAAAAAAAATTTAAGTGTAGTTAAAAAATTTTTTTCTGCCTCTCACTGCCAAGACCTCCTTCCCAGTCAGGTCCAGCCCACTTTTTTTCATGAGCCTCACTGTCATACCAATTGCTAATCTAAAACCCAAAAGCAAACAAAAAATATTCTGAAGGAAATTTTCTAATGCTATCTCTGCCATTAATTCTTACCTGAGCCAAACACTTAGGACACCTCCAGTCTCCCTTGGGAACATCATGGAGAGGGGGAATAAGGCAAAAGGTGTGGTAACTGTCATCACAGCCATCACACAGGAGAAGCCGGTCTTCATCATTCCCACTGCCACATAAGAGGCAGACATACAGATCCACCTGCAGCAGTGAAAACACGTACAGGACCAGGAGCGTGAGCTACATTCGATTTTGTTAAACTCTAAGAATGAAATGCATAGAGGCATAATCTAGTCTTCCCATCCTTCAAATGAAAATTAATCACCCCCCATAAGAGGTATTTTATTTTATTTCATTTTTTTAAAGATTTTATTTATTTATTAGACAGAGAGAGAGACACACACAGCGAGAGAGGGAACACAAGCAGGGGGAGTGGGAGAGGGAGAAGCGGGCTCCCCACTGAGCAAGGAGCCCGACGCGGGGCTCGATCCCAGGACCCCAAGATCATGACCTGAGCTGAAGGCAGACGTGTAACGACTGAGCCAGCCAGGTGCCCCAAGAGGTATTTTAAATAAAAATGCTTCACCTTTTAGAAGAGATAACTTTACAATGCTTAATGCATTCCCAACACTAAAGTCTAATCTCAAAACCTTTTCAGCTGTTTCTGTGTGTGTGTTTTAAGATTTCTTTATTTAGGGGTGCCTGGGTGGCTGAGTCAGTTAGCGTCCAACTCTTGATTTTGGCTCAGGCCATGATCCCAGATCTCATGCCCCTCTCTCTTTTAAAAGAAAAAAAGAAAAAAAAAATATGTGTATATATATATGTTTGTTGGTTGGTTTATTTATTTATTTATTTGAGAGAGAGAGAGAGTAGGCACGTGCGCATGCACGGGAGGGGCAGAGGGAGAAGAGAGAAAATTCCCAGCAGACTCTGGCTGAGCGGGTGGCCAGAAGTGGGGCTCCATCCCACAGCCCATGAGATCACGACCTGGGCCAAAATCAAGAGGCGGACACTCAACTGAGTGTGCTGCCCAGGCGCCCCTCAGCTATGTGTTTTAATGTTTGTTACTAAGATATTTAGCTTCTAGTAGCTTAGAGAATGATAATCTTCTGGAAGAAGAACATGTTTGGTAATAAATTATCAGCTTAACCAAAAGTAGAACTTATAAAGAAAAAAAATCAATTTTGTCGTGTTTAAAAGGAAAGAAAAGGGGGTGCCTGGGTGGCTCAGTTGGTTAAGCAACTGCCTTCGGCTCAGGTCATGATCCTGGAGTCCCGGGATCGAGTCCCGCATCGGGCTCCCTGCTCAGCAGGGAGTCTGCTTCTCCCGCTCCCCCCTCTTGTGCTCTGTCTCTAAAATAAATAAATAAAATCTTTAAAAAAAAGGAAAGAAAAGTGTTTAAGTTCATTAACCACATTAAATTACTTTATATTCTAATTAAGGACTCATGGTTAAGTTCCCCAAACACAGTGATAAAAATACATAGTTATTACCTGTTAATGGGCTGAACTCTGTTCCCCCAAAATTCGTATCTTGATGTCTTAACCCCCAGTATCTCAGAATGTGACTATATTTGGAACAGGGACTTTAAAGAGATTAATTAAGGTAAAATGAGATCATAATGAGTGGGCTCTAATTCACTATGACTAGTATTCAAGAAGAAGAGATTAGGACATAGACAGGTACAGAGGAAAGCCACATGAAGACAGTGAGGAGACAACCATCTATAAGCCAAGGAGAGGCCTCAGAAAAAAACCAACCCTACAGACACCTTGATCTTAGACTTCCAGCCTCCAGAACCACGAGAAAATCAATTGTTATTTAGGCCAGTTAGTCTGTGATACTTTGTTACAGCAGCCCTTGCAAACTAATACATTACCCAATAATATGGAAAGCTAAGAATTCAACTTATCAGGGAATCTCACTTCTTCTGTTGTAGCAAATAAAAACCTGGGTTCTGATCATTTTCTGATTGTTTTTTTTTTTTTTTTTTTTTTGGTGGTGGTGGTGGTGGTGGTGGTGGAGAAGTGTTCTTTATGAAAAGAACACTTAATTGGAATAATTTCAAATTCCACAATAAAAAGCACTGTTGTCAAGCTATTCACTGAGCTCTCAGAAGGGACAGAGAAGAAGAAAAGCAACCAGATCCTCTGTAATCTCCTCAAGCTTTATTTTTAAGTTTCCATTTGAGTAAATGGCTGCCTAGTCCTCCAACTTTTGTTGGGTCCTCAGTTCCTCTCCACCCAACTCCTTTCCTTTTCTTTCCTTCCTTTTCCTACCTTCCTTTTCCTTCCCTGTTGTAAGGTTGGAAAACATCAACCTGATTTTTGATCTAGCTCTCAACTCACCTGGAGGTGATCTAGTGATTTATGAACATTTCATATATAATCCAACTCACCATTATATGTCTCTAAACTGCATGTACTCCAAAAAATGGCTGTGAATGCCCCCCATATGTTACTATTACCTTCATAATGCATTTGTGTATTTCCTCAATTAGAAATTTATACTATAAATGGACATGAAAAGTTCTTTTAACTGTGACACTCTAAGCTAGCAGTCTTAAGTAAGGCACAAAAATGGTACAAGTGTTTAAACATGTCAACTCACAGCACTGGTGGTTTTTTTAGATCGGCTCTTGGGCTTTTCCTTCTCGCTTTCTACAATGTACTCTTTCTTCTCAATGGGTTCTTGCTTGACGATGCCTTTCATTTCTTTCTCTGTAAGAGGCAATCAGAGTTAGCGCTTCACGTACTACACTTGGCTCACCTTGCTCCTTCACCTCTCACCTCTCCCTCCCCCAAGCTACACACAGGACACAAACACAATTTCCTTGTTTCTTTTCAATGCAGGAGCAGCAGCACCCAATGTTACCATGTTCAAGGGCTAGGTGCTGACTGCTTATGGTAAAATGCAAACTCTCACACCATTTAAATGTGGGCACTTCTGGATATGGGTACTTCTGGGTATGTTGCTCAGGTTTGTAGGCTTTTAAAATAGGAGCCGAAGATACAGTCTTCTTAACATGTTACCGAGACATGATATATATTGATGAAAGCAGGTTCCTCCTGATCTTAACTGTAAGAGACTAACAATTCACCAACTGTATTCCTCCACATTATAGAGTATTCCTCCATAACCCATGACTACTTACTGCCCCAACTTCCTGGTTCCAAAGACTGAGAATTTCGGCTAAAACAGTAACTATCAATATGGTAGGTAGGTGCTGTGCTAAATGCTGTCCACTGATTATCTAACCTTTTGCAACAAATCCATTTCAAAGATAAGAAAACGGACACTAAAATAAATCAAGAAATATCTAAGGTCATACAACTACTTAGTGGTTAGGCCAAGATTCAGATTCAGATCTGTATTTCTAAAAATCCACCTACTTTCCACTACATTGTGCTGCCTTTCCACTAAACTCACCAACCACTAAGAAGAACCAATTTTAATAACTTCTTCGTTTGTATGTGTCTGCCCATATAGGATTTAGGACTTCTCTTTTTAGAGTCCTGAACAGGTTTACCTCTCAGTGACTGACATCAAGCAATGGCCAGCCAAGCAATTATCAACTAAAATTCAGATTTAGAAACCATGTCTGCCTGCCATGCCTGAAATAAACTTAACAGATATCCAGTCAAAGGCACCTATGCTACTCATAAAACACTTCTTTTCAATGAATGCCATTTAACCAAATTTCAGAATAGCACTTAGTGACAGTTGAGAAAAACTCAATCATATTTCTAATATGCATATCTGTTTACTTCTACTGGTCACTAACTATGAGAATAGGGACATTAACATATTAAGATTTTATTTCAAGACCCAACCCACTGACTAGTATTCAATAGTTGCTATAAGATTTCCTTAAAAAAATGAATACTTACTTTTACTAATTTACTTTTACTTCTTTCCTACCCATGGATAAACACTTTCTTACCATTTTCACATTTTGGAGTTGGACAGCCCATCCGTCGCCTCAGGTTATGAGTTCTGGCTTCTGCTGTCTCTTCTGGTTCTATTTTAATATTCATGGCCTTTAAAAAAGTTGTCATATACATAAATATTTCCTCTTAAAAAAGAAACCTTCTAAAATGCAACTGAAATCTCAAGGTGACTATAATCTTATAAATTGTCTTATAAATGGACATTCAAAACATGCTTCTCTCTCCCCACAGAGGCGAGATCTACCCTTAAAATTACTATTATTTAAGGAAAGGAAAAAATCTTAGAATACTCTTAGAAAAAATCTTAGATACTCTTCTATCTCCACAGGTCAAAAAAATAGGGAAGAACCAAAGGATCAGGAACAAATTAGGGCAAGTGTCATTACCCCACTGGGAACAGATCTGATTTTCCTCCTAGAAGCTTCCCAGTTCTCATCTATTCACCTTACGCTTGATTCAGTCATCACTAAGCCAAATCCTTAACAGTTATATAAATATAATTTCGTTAGCCTAGAAGAGTTTACTGGCTTTTTCCAAAGTTGGCTCATATTTATAGAAAACTCAGCTTCCATAATAATTTTCTATTAATTCTTCTATTAAAAACTGTTATAAGATGGGGCGCCTGGGTGGCTCAGTTGGTAAAGTGACTGCCTTCGGCTCAGGTCATGCTCCTGGAGTCCCTGGATCGAGTTCCGCATCGGGCTCCCTGCTCGGCAGGGAGTCTGCTTCTCCCTCTCCCACTCCCCGTTTGTGTTCCCTCTCTCGCTGTGTGTCTTTCTCTGTCAAATAAATAAATAAAATCTTAAAAAAAAAAAAACAAAACAAAACTGTTATTATAAGCTACTCTTCTAACATCACTAAATTATTAAGGATTCTCCTATCATTAAGTCAGCCTCAATTTTCAATGTTTCTCAAAGTGGTAATACTTACTGATAAAGCAAACAACTTTGGGAAGTGTTTGTGGAACTGCACTTGATCATTTTTGCCCTTGTTCATTCATATGTATTCAGGATGTCCACTGCTGACAAAATTTCTCCCAGGATGCTATCATCACCCTGTATGTCTCTCATCAAGGCAAACCTAGGCACCCACAGCACCAGGGCATGTCTTACACATTTAAAGATCAAGATGTGCTCAAACAAGAATTTTTTACACTAATGAAATCCAAGCATGCTTATGGGCTTCGAATAACCGTATTTTCCTATTCTGAGGCAATCTTAATTCAGAAAAATGGAGTCACTAAATTTTTTCCTATCTCTAACTTACCTAAGTTAAAAATAATCCCCTTACTTATTTTTATTTTTATTTTTTTTTTAAGATTTTATTTATTTATTTGACAGAGAGAGAGCACAAGTAGGCAGAGAGGCAGGCGGAGGGAGAGGGAGAAGCAGGCTCTCTGCCAAGCAGGGAGCCAAATGTGGGACTTGATCCTAGGACCCCGGGATCATGACCTAAGCCGAAGGCAGCTGCTTAACTGACTGAGCCACCCAGGCGCCCGTAAAAATAATCCCCTTATTTATATCCATTTCCTCAGAAAACAAAATAGCTATTTTCTTCTTCATCTTGACCAATAATTACTAATAACCAGAGACTGATTTAGATATCTGATTAATGCAACGAGGCTTCCCAGCTCTAAGATGTTCCTAATACATTATCACTGATTCCTAACACTTATATGTCCATCAAGCTAGGCAAGAACCCCAAACCTTCACATCTCTGTATGGAAACAAGGTAACCAGGAAAATACACTTTTCCCTTTCCCAAGGGAAACCTCTCAGAGCAGAAAAATCTTGAAGCAAACTGTCTTTCTCATCCGTTCACTTCTCCTGATCATCCCTCATGTTCTTTCATTTCATCTTATATATTCAATGCCTCCACCCCCATGCTGCCTAATTATTTTCTGTCTTAGCATAAATGTCTCCCATAGATTCCATACTCCTTTTCAGGAACTCTGAGAAAAACAGCTTTCACTATCCTCTAACCTCTCTGTTCAAGAAGGAAAAAAAAAAAAGTTCCCAGTTCTCTATTCCCTAGCCTCAACCCCCAATAAACACTGCCTAACTTCATGAGGGTAACAGGCAAACCAAACACCATCACAATGAACGCCTATTCTTCCTAACTCTGTTAATAAAGCAGCTGTCTGTCCAGGCAGCACAAACCTAGAAAGAATTCTTCAATCCCTTACTCCTTTGACAGTAGAGTCTCCCCAAATGTAAAAGCTAGAATATAAAAGCAATTAACAAGGTTCAAAACTATGAAGAGCACACACATGAGAGAAATCCAGTGTCAGACTGACAGTGGTAGAAGTGCTCAAGAATTCTGTCTGATCAACCTCATGAGGCTCTCACCTCTGCTCTCATGCGTTTTGCTCGTCGGGCTGGGGGGCAGGTTTCTGAGGGCTGCACAGACTGCCTCTGCGGAATATCGTGAGGTTTGTACTCCTTGTCCTTCGTGTCTGTGCTCAGGTTTGGCTTCTGCAAACACTAGAAATTAAAACACAATTTATTAATCAATTTCCCTTCCTTTTTTAAGAATTTCAATGTATTTTGTAAGGTATATTTTACAGTTATTTACATAGATACATAAAAGGTCTGCAATTTTTAAGATCTAAATAAACACAAATCTGCAGTTACCAATCATATATACACACACATATAAGAGTCTAAAAAAATCAGTGGCAGTAACGTAGCCAATGAGGTTTATCCGAGGCGCGATTATTGCTAATTGAAAAAATTTTTAGCAGGTGAATGGTGTTGCTTCAATTCATTTAACTGTACATGACATCAGGTTACACGAGGCCACAGCAGGCTCAAGGCACTCCCCCATGAGCCACTTGTAATTATCCCTGCTTGGGACTGTCAATTAATTGAAGGCTCAAACTGTTAGATAGGATCCTTGTAAGTTTCCAAAATAACTTTCCATATTGAGAATATTTGATTTTTTATAGTGTTTAGAGTCATAAAATACGGAAACCAATAGGTTTTCTATGTTTTAGAATCCTGAAGTTTCAAATATAACTAGCAATGTTCTGTGATCAAAGATATCACCTGAATTGAGAAAACAGGTAATTTGACTGAAGTGTTCTCCCTTATTAGTGCTTTCACTTACTTCAACATATTCCTACAAGGTCTAACTCACAAGACAAAGGCTAATAGGTAGCCCACAGTAATAACTGCCAGTTCTGATCAGAGTTTCTTCTTGCTTTGATTATTTTTTAGTTTGATTCTAGGCTTGCTGATAGAGGGTATTTAATGCCAACACAACAAAACATGGTAACATCAAAATATTACCACTGAATCTAATACGAATTTCAAGTAAGTAACACTTCTTCGTAATAGGACCCACGAGTATCACAAGAAGCATTTTTAAAAGCAGGTTCCAAGTTATAACCACTTCAAGTATGATATATATCATCTATGCTAGAGTAAGACACAGTAAAATAATACCCTTCTAGAACTCCTGGCTCTCCGGGTACCATTACTACTATATAGTCTCACTACTGGCTCCTTCCTCCTAACATTTGCAGAAAGAATTCAGAGAACGGTGGGGGGGAGGGGGGGGGGCGCGACAAGAATAACAAAAGCAGAGTAATCATCTAACAAAACCTATTTCTAACATTTAAAAAATAGAATACACTATAAAAAAAACTGATACAGATTACTTGATATTCTAAACAAGTAAACAAATCTACAACTGGTACAACAACCTATATATATTAAATATTCTGCTCATTTTAATTAAACTCATACATTGATTTGTCTGGAAATGTTAACAAAATTAGTATGGAATACCACCCTCCATTCTGTAACAAGTCCTCAAATTAAGCATTTAGAGTATATTTAATGAAAGCATGCTGATGGCATGCTGATGGGAATAAAACCTATCATCTAAATTAACCTCTTTATGTTTTTTATAAACTTTCTATTTGAGATCTAAAAGTATGTGTGATCATGTAGATACGAACTGAACTAAATCAAGGAAATTTAATAAAGTGGATGGTCAGGTATTCAGAGATTAGGAGCACCTGGGTGGCTCAGTCAGTTAAGCATTGTCTTGATTTCAGCTCAGGTCATGATCTCAGGGTCATGAGACTGAACCCCACGAGAGGTCCTGCGCTCAGCGGGGAGTCTCCCTCTCCCCCTACCCCCACTCGTGCTCACTTACTCTCTCTCTCCCTAAAATAAATAAATTTTTTTTTTTTTTTTTTTAAGGAAATTCAGAGACTATATAATGTGGTCCCTATCTCTCACTAAGTCTAAGTAGTTCCACAAACTATGGTCTCTTTGTTCTACAAGGACTTTAGAGATCTAAGGTAAAACCAAGCTCAGAAACTTTTAGAATATACATGAAGAGCTTTATTGTTTGTTTAAGATTTTATTTATTTGACAGAGAGAGAGAGAGAGAGCACAAGCAGGGGGAGAGGAGAAGCAGGCTCCCCGCTGAGCAGGGAGCCCGAGATGGGACTCAATCCCAGGACCCTGGGATCGTGACCTGAACCGAAGGCAGACGCTCAACCAACTGCGCCACCGAGGCGCCCCTTTTTAAGATTTTATTTGAGAGAGTGAGCAAGAGAGAGCACAAGCCGGGGGAGGGGCATAGAGAGAGGGACAAGCAGACTCCCTGCTGAGCAGGGAGCCTAATGCGGGACTCAATCCCAGGACCCTGGGATCATGACCTGAGCTGAAGGCAGGTGTTTAACCGACTGAGCCACCCAGGTGCCCAAAAAAGCTTTATTATTTTGTTCCAAACCACAATTCCAAACATGTAACTGATGTGTTTGCTTTGTATCCACTCCTAGTACATGCAGACTAATTTTAACCTTTGAGAAAGTGGGATTGAGAGGTGACTGATTCCACAGCATGAGGACACCATCTTACAGAGACAGAGCAATCCGCTGAGGCACTCAGAAAACACAGGAATACAAGAGGGGCACCTGGGTGGCACAGTCGGTTCAGCGTCCAACTCTTGCTTTTGGCTCAGGTTGTGATCTCCGGGTCATGAGATCAAGCCTGGCATTGGGCTCCACGCTCAGGGCAGAGTCTTAAGAGTTTCTCCCTCCCTCTCCCTCCCCCACTGCTCTTTCTCTAAAATAAATAAACCTTAAAAAAAAAAAAAAGAAAAAGAAAAGCAGAAGAAAACATGGGACTACAGGAGTGGAGCCTCTGTCCCACTGCACCAGTACATCTCTGCTCAACTTTTCTTGTTTCCCAAAACCTACTCTAGGCTTCGGTTCACCCTTTTGCAACAATTCCTTTGTTGGGAATCACTTTTTTTCTTAATATTAAGACTTTATTTTTTTAGATAAGTTTTAGGTTTATAGCATAGCTGAGATGAAGGTGGAGATTTACTATACACCCTGGACCCCCACATGCACAGCCTCCCCCATTGTCACCATCCCCCACCAGAGTAGTGATACATTTGTTACAAGTGATAAACCTATGAAGTCTATGGGTGACATCAGGATTCACTTGTGTACATTCTATGGGTTTGGACAAATATATAATGCCATGTAGGATATTTTCACTGCTCTAACAATCCTCTGTGCTCTGAATATCACACCCCCCCTCCCCGCTCTCCCTCCTGCCCCAAAACCCCTGGCAACCACTAATCTTTTTTACTGTTTCTACAGTTTTGCCTTTTCTAGAATACTAAGTTTGGAATCACACAGTATAAGTAGCCTTCTCATGTTGGTTCTTTCACTTAGTGATATACATTTAAGGCTCCTCTCCTTGTCTTATCATGGCTTGAGACCTCTTTTTTCTTTTTTTACATCTCTTTTCTTTTTAATGCCTAATAATACTCCATTGTCTGGATATACCACCATTCATTTATCCATTTACCTACTGAAGGACAGCTTGGTTGCATTCAAGTCTTGGCAATTAAGAGCAATAAAGTTGCTAAAACACATCTGTGTGCAGGTTCTGTGTGGACATGTTTTCAACTCCTTTGTGTATATACCAAGGAACATGACTGCTGGATTGGACGGTAACAAAGTATGTTTAGTTTTCTAAGAAATGGCCAAGTGTCTTCCAGAGTAGCTGTGTCATTTTGCATTCCGGCCAGCAATGAATGAAAACTTCTGCTGTCCTTGCCAGACTTTGTGCTGTCAGTGTTCTGAATTTGGCCATTCTAATTAGGTGTGTTGTGTGGTAGTATTGCGTTTCCACTCTTCTAAAATATATGTATTCTAGTTATCCTTTCTCTAAGAATTATTTTCAAAAATCAGAAATGAGCCAAAAATTAGGTACAAAAACTGGCCATCACAGTATATTAAATATAACATTCAACAATGAAGAAATCAAGGTCTGGCTATAAAAATGGAATGCCAGAGTCATTCAACTAGACCTTTAAAAATATTCAAGGACATGGCAAATGCTCATGATATATTAAGCAGAGAAAAGGCAGGTTATAATACTGTAAATGAATAATACAATCCCAGTGTGTATATATATGCATAAAAATAGCCTTGAAAGAAAAAACAGGTGAGAGGATTAAGAGTGATTTTATTTTCATCACACTTTCCTTTGTTTTTAAGCTTTCTGCAATGAATACCTATCAGTGCCTACAACATACTTGGCCCACAACGGGCGCCTCAAGAAGTATTTATCTGAGTTGTAAATGTAATGTTTGTAAAAGGTATCTTTTTTTTTTTTATTAGAGAGAGAGAGAGTGAGAGAGAGAGCGCAAGAGGGGGTAGGGTTAGAGGGAGAAGCAGACTCCCCGCCGAGCAGGGAGCCCGATGTGGGACTTGATCCCGGGACTCCGGGATCATGACCTGAGCCGAAGGCAGTCGCTTAACCAACTGAGCCACCCAGGCGCCCTGTAAAAGGTATCTTTAAATACCTATTCCTTTCAGATTACAATTGAATAAATGCTTACATGCTTTCCAACTATGAAACTTATACTACCTAAATATATAGATATTTTTTAAAATGTTGCAATCCATAAAGCAGGTAGACTCTTTCATCTTACTCACTGTGACTTCCACACTGAAACAGAAAGGTTAACAAGGAGAAAATCTACTGTAGGCAACTGTATGTAGATCTGACTATAAAACAGAGGCATAAAGGTTCCACACACAACCGTCTAAATAATTTCATCCCTGAGGTCATTAAACATTCACACATGTATATTTAAAAATGACAACTTTCGGGCGCCTGGGTGGCTCAGTTGGTTAAGCGACTGCCTTCGGCTCAGGTCATGATCCTGGAGTCCCTGGATCGAGTCCCACATCGGGCTCCCTGCTCGGCAGGGAGTCTGCTTCTCCCTCCGACCCTCCCCCCTTTCATGCTTTCTCTCTCTCAGTCTCTCTCTCTCAAATAAATAAATAAAAAAAAATAAAAATGACAATTTTCTGAATATTAGACTGGTCATGTTCTTTTAAGCTGAAAAGAAAGCTCCCCTGGAATCAAGAAGGGAGAAAGTGTAGAAAAATGTGATGCTATAAAAATCTATAGGATTTGAGCATTACAGATGGTATGTCTATAATATCAAGACAAAGTTTTGATTAGTAGTTTACCCTCTGAAACTATGTTATTATCTTTCTACTTCGCTATAACACAGTAACAATTCTTAAAATTATAGGGCTCACGGCTCTTGCCTTAGAATAACTCAAAGGGTGTAAATGGATTACGACATTGTTCTTTCCATCAGGGTCTTGAAATAAGTAGGAAGATTTTATAATACAGTTTTACTTTAATTACAACAAAAGTTCCTATTTGAATAAGTTGGCAGATACCATCTTTATAAGGAAACAAACATGGCTACACAGGAACTATTAGAAGAGGGATCCATTAGCTATCCAGCATTATTAAGTCCCCTACCTTTCACCCATATCAGCGTTCTATCTTAAAATCTCCCTGGAAATCTCAGCTGGCAAGAACAGGTAGGCAAGTTATTTCACAGGTCGTACTTCCATGTGACAACTAGGAATATGCTCTCCATAATATGTGAATGCAAAAGCATGAATCATAACAAGATAATAATCAACTTGTCATTTAAGGAAGACATAGCTTTAGTGAAGTTAAATACAGACTTCGGCTTAGGCTAATAGCAAAAGGCTATTTCCTCCACAACCTTATTCAATCCAAAAACAAACTTCTAAGCACAGCTGTTCTCAAAACAAAACGACACAAACATCGGAGGAAAAATTCACAAAACGGAGTCTTCTCAACAATGTCGTCCACACAGAATTATTATTATTTTTTAAAGATTTTATCTATTTATTTGATAGAGGGAGACACAGCGAGAGAGGGAACACAAGCAGGGGGAGTGGGAGAGGGAGAAGCAGGCTTCCCGCGGAGGAGGGAGCCCGACGCAGGGCTCGATCCCAGGATCTGGGATCATGACCTGAGCCGAAGGCAGACGCCTAACGACTGAGTTACCCAGGCTCCCCCACACAGAATTAATTAAGGCCTCTTCATTCACCCTGAAAGACAACACACCAATAAGCTGTGAAATAAACAGGTTAAAGTTGGCCTCAATACTCACCCTCAAACTGTCTCCTGACAGGAACAAGTTGTAGGGATTGAGGATTCGTTCATAATGCCCTCTGATATGCGAGCCCACAGCTTTGCCAGGAGCAAATCCCATCTTGGTGGCAATTTTGGTCCATTTCCTATCCTTGCAAACAACTGCAAATCCACCTTCTTCTGCAACTAACTGTTAATAGCAAAAGAAATTAGAAACGCCTATATGGAAATCACTTCTAACTCCCTCATACCTAGGTATGACTCCAAGAACAAATGTTCTTGGCTGTGTAATTTTTAAAAATACATCTCCCAAGTCAAATGAAAACATATATGCACTACTAATTTCAAGCTAAAAAATTGATCACTTTTGACAACATAATCCATAAACATTTGTACCCCCAAAAGCTACTTCTCAGTTCCCCAGAACAATCAAGATTTTCAGGGAGGAAGAACTAGATCAACAATTAAATCTCAAACAAAGAACGAGCCCTAGCACTTGGTCCAACACAATGACCCTCAAAATCTCCATAAACTAAGGAGGAGGAGAGATGGCACCATTTTGGGGGAAAGAATGTAGGCTTTACACTGAAGTGAACCTGAACTTCAGATACTGAATTATGACTCAGCCTTTAGAGCTTGGTCAATTTTCTCCCTAAGCCCCAGTTGTTTTAACTGTAATAAAACAGAAAGGAGTACCCTACAGAAATATTGTTAAGTTTTAAAATGACACACACAAAAGGTGGCAGCAAAATATTTCACAAGATAAGGCTTTCAGACCTGACAAGTAGAGCCCAATTATTGCTGAAGTGAATGGAGAATTTCATTTTACATATTTCAAACAATAAGTTTCTTTTTAAGATGAGGAAGATCAAATTCATGCTGGCAGAAAGGCACTAAAGTGAGGGAGATGGCCGTTAGCCTCTTACCTTATTGAGCTGAAACAAATCCAAGATCTTCCTCTCCACATGTGGAATTTTCAGAGTACTTCCCTGTAACTCCCAGTACTTTGCAATCTGGTCCAAGAAATTCAGTTTTACTCGAGTTTGAGCCTGAATGACAAAGAAATGAATTTTAATCTCACCTAGCTTATTTTAAAACCCCTTCTATTACCTATGTGTGTGGTATTTTCACTCTTAGAATATTACAGTGAGGGGCGCCTGGGTGGCTCAGTCAGTTGAGCATCCGACTTTTCCTTTCGGCTCAGGTCATGATCACAGGGTCGTGAGATCAAACCCTGCATGGGGCTCTGCACTCAGTGCAGAGTCTGCTTGAGATTCTCTCCCTCTGCCCCTCCCACTCTTGCTCTCCTTCTCTCTCTAAAATAAATAAAATCTTAAAAAAAAAAAAAAGAATATTTAAGTGAAATATCACTTTCAAATTCAAAAGAGAAACTGCCAAAAAATATACAAAATAAAGCTGGTTAAATAATTATACATTAACTCAACAAAAATTTAATTCAGCCCCTACCATGTGTCAGGCAAGGAGTTAAGCACTCAGTAAGTCTTTCCTTAAGTAGGCACTCTGAAAAGGCCTTCACTTACAGAGTACTATAAGCACAATTTTGTTATTGGTTAAAATTATATGACAAGTAAGCTTCTATATGCCCCTCTTGGTCTTTTTACAATTGGGGTATTTTAAAGGTCTGTTCTTTCCAAGCACAAATTTTCTTATTTTCTCAAACACAAATCCCAAAACAGATTTACAACAGTGATTCCATATCAATTTTAATGAGTCCTGATAAGATAACAGAAAACCAGGAGATACTTTCTTAATTAAATATTATTCCCTTAACAGATTATTACTGTTGTCTATAAGTCATTAAAAAAAATCTGTCATTTTTCTTTCCCCTCCTTGAAAATTAAGTTTAAGTCAGGCAGTTTTAGGAGTTTTATCTTGCTCAAGAGCAAAACTGAGATTAATGTTCAGATGTTCCCAAACACAGTCTAAGACCTCAAAGTTTCCTATCTTTCAAGCTCAACTTGAAAATAGACACTAGATACTACTACCACCAATGTCCAAAGAATCCCAGTGGACGTGTGTTCCACTTAAGTTAAAAATGTCTTGTTTTGTATAGAAAAGCAAAACATGATTCAATGTTAAAATCAGGTTAGCGAAACGTTAATGTAAACATTACTTCTAGGTTATCAATACTCAAGCCTTATTCACCCTGTACTTTAGGGTTTCAGTAGCAAAGGGATTGAAGAAACATCATCTCTTCTCTAAAGGAATACCCAAGTATTCCTCACCCCTCCTTAGGAAATTAAAGTGTGTTATTAAACCTAAGTGAAGATGTGTATTTGGAAGAAAATTAGAGCTGGAAATCTTTTCCAATAGATGGTTCTCAAAGCACATTCCTTTCAAGACCTAAATTCTTGTGGTTGTCACCTAAATTTAGAAGGATTTAAATGAATTAAGAGGCCAACAATGATTGACAAAAATCAGTGTTTTTAATGCTATCTGGCTTGCTACAAAGGCCTCACTGCCATTTGTTTTACCATGATTATCAATGACTGGCCATATTTTAGCTTCACTAAAACCACTAGATTTGTGACAGATTCTTCGAAGAAAGTCCCTCTGGAATACAGTCCACCAGAACAACAGTAAAGATATTACCTCCAATTCATTCAGCCTCTGGATACGTGGGGTAAAATGAAGTTTGTCAACATCACATGCAAATGGTGGCTGCCAATCCTAAGGGAGAAGCAAAGGCTTTGATTAGAAGAATTTATAATTCTGACATTTAAAAAATTGTTAAAACCCCAGTTAAGCAAAACACACTATCTCTAACCAGTCAAATAAAATAGAACATGGGTAATAGTTTCTTAACCTTTTTCTACCAGAACAGCAGAATATGTATGATTACCCTTCCCCATATAAATGATGCATCCTGTGCACACCCTTTTCACACCCTTTCAAATGAGTAAAGTCACTTAACCTCAAGCTGTTGAAAAACCCCTGACTTTAAAGTTTATTTTTAGTAATCTCTTAAACCCAGCATAGGGCTCGAACTCACGACCCCAAGATCAAGAGTCACACGCTCTTCGGACTGAGCCAGCCAGGCACCCCCCCAAAAATCAATGACTTTGAAAGAGATTTTGATTCCTCTACTCCATATAAGTTATCTTTTTACAAAATAGCTATTTAATGGGGCGCCTGAGTGGCTCAGTCGTTAAGCGTCTGCCTTTGGCTCAGGTCATGATCCCAGGGTCCTGGGATCGAGCCCCGCACTGGGCTCCCTGCTCAGCGGGAAGCCTGCTTCTCCCTCTCCCACTCCCCCTGCTTGTGTTCCTTCTCTCGCTTTGTCTCTCTCTGTCAAATAAATAAATAAAATCTTTAAAAAAAAACAGCTATTTAACATCAAAACATCCATAAACTATATTTTTATATGTAACCTCCTAGTTACCTTAACTTTTATTATAAAATTAAAGATAAGTTTGGGGGGGGTGGTGAAGACTGCCATTCAAGACTAATTTTAAAGAATCGTCCTTAACATATCTACTGCTACAGATTCTTAGAAGAACTGCAATCATGAGGAAATAATCAGACAAGGAAAATATTATGCTACCTCTAAGTAGAAAACTTAAATGTCTACAATAGGAGAATAGTTAAAGGAATAAAAATTATGCTGTTATTAATAATGCAATATATGTTAAGAAAAAAAAAGAAGAAGAAGAAAAAGGTAGCGGGAGGGGAAGAATGAAGCAGGGGAAATCGGAGGGGTAGACGAACCATGAGAGACAATGGACTCTGAAAAACAAACTGAGGGTTCTAGAGGGGAGGGGGGTGGGAGGATGGGTTAGCCTGGTGGTGGGTATTGAGGAGGGCACATTCTGCATGGAGCACTGGGTGTTATGCACAAACAATGAATCATGGAACACTTCATCTAAAACTAATGATGTAATGTATGGGGATTAACATAAGAATAAAAAAAATCTTAAAAAAAATTATGCTGTTATTAATGGGTATAGAGTTTCAGTTTGGAATAATGAAAAAGTTCTGGAGATGGATTAGTGTTAATGGTTATGAATGTACTTAATGTCATTGAATTGTACCCTTAAAATTATTACAATGGTAAGTTCTGTATTATACATAATATTTTAACAAATTAAAAAAAGCAAAAAGACAAAAAATTATGCTGTGGTATAGCTCTATTTATTGACATTGAAAGATGTTCCCTACATTCGTTAAGGAGGAAAAGAAAAACAGGCTATGCAATATAAAAATAAAACATTGGAAAGATATACAGCAAAACCGTTAACAGTGGTTGTCTTTGGTGGTAGGATTATAGGTGATTTTCTTTTACTTCCTTAGCCATTTGAAATACAATCTTAAATATATTTACATACATTAAATAACATCTATTACATATTAAATAAGTTACTTCAGATTGAGAAAATACAAGGAAGTTCACAGTCTTTTTACCCAACTTCATACCCAGAAGTTTGTTCTAAGAAAATAATTCACCCAGAATCAACAAAATACATGCATGAAATTAACTGCAGCATAATGTTAGAAAGATATGATTGATATTATAACAACACTGAATATTATACAGCATTTTAAAATTCTAGATTTATGAAGAACTCATACCAATAAATAAGAAAATATAGAAAAACGGACAAATTGTGTTAGTAGTTAGCAAGAAAAAATGGCTAGCTGTAAAAAGACTGGTGTCCAACTTTCTTCAAAATTCAAGAAATACACAAGATCCCCTTGTTTTTACCTACCAGGTTAGCAATGATTTAAATATACACACCACCAGTATTAGCAATATGGGAGGAAATGTGGACCCTGATGATTAGTACACTGTTTTTGGAGGTCAATTAGAAAACATCAAATTTGGGGCGCCTGGGTGGCTCAGTTGGTTAAGCGACTGCCTTCGGCTCAGGTCATGATCCTGGAGTCCCGGGATCGAGTCCCGCATCGGGCTCCCTGCTCAGCAGGGAGTCTGCTTCTCCCTCTGACCCTCCCCCCTCTCATGCTCTCTCTATCTCATTCTCTCTCTCAAAAAATAAATAAATAAAATCTTAAAAAAGAAAAAAAAAAAAAAAGAAAACATCAAATTTTTAAAGGTCTACTGACCCAGCAATTCCTTGGGTGACAATTTACAAATATCTGTTACCACTCACAAAGAAAAAAGGAAATTTACTGCAGAATTGTTTTAACTTAAAACCTTAATATTGGGGCACCTGGCTAGCTCAGTGGGTGGAACATGAGGCTTTTGATCCCAGGGTTTAAGTTCAAGCCCCACATGGGGTGTAGAGATTACTTTAAAAAAATAATAAAATCTTAAAAAGAAAACCTTAGTATCTATCAGTGGATAGTAAGGTAAATAAATGTGGACACATCTGTAAATAGCAATAAAATACTCTGCAGCTGTAATAAAGAAAAAAAATCTACATGTTCTAAATATAGAAAGACAGCCAAGATTGAATGAGTAAAAAAAACTAAAATACAGGGACGCCTGGGTGGCTGAGTCGTTGAGCATCTGCCTTCGGCTCAGGTCATGGTCCCGGGATCCTAGGATCAAGTCCCACATCGGGCTCCTTGCTCATTGAGGAGCCTGCTTCTCCCTCTCCCTCTGCTGCTCCCCCTACTTGTGCTCTCTCTCTCTCTGACAAATAAATAAATAAAAATCTTTAAAAAAAAAACAAAACAAAATGAAAATACGTAAAATCATGCGAACAGTATTACATGTATGTAAATTTTAAAGACTTTCATAATAGGAAAGAGATTACTGTTATTTCAAATCTATATTATTAGAATTTTTATTACTATTGATTGCTTTTAGTTTAAAAGTAAAACAAGGTCTGGGGCGCCTGGCTGGCTAGGTCCATGGAGCATGCAATTCTTGATCTTTGGGTAGTTAGTTCAGGCCCCACGCTGGGCATAGAGCTTGCTTAAAAAAAGTAAAACAAGGTTTTGTTTTAGTGATAGGGAGACTTCAGTAAAAGTGCCCACCAGCAATGCCTGATAAACTATTATGTTAAAAAGATTACATTTTACCACAATTTATTTTAATAAGAAAAAAATGCAGATTACAAATTGGTACAAAACTATTTACTACCGAAAAGAAGAAACAAAAAAAAGGGAAAAAAATAAGGCTTTCAAGAAAACAGTAAAACAACTATTTTATGTTGTCATACTGCCTCTTCCACAAAGACTATGGTTCTTGTTTCAATGTCAGTTGTCAATTAAACAAATACTATACTTTGTTAATTAACTTAAAAATAACTACCTACTCCATCCTGGGTCAGAAAGATGAAAGTGATTTATTTTTGTTTAGCTTGATAACTAAAGATAAGGAAAGCAATGTGTTTAATTGTACAGAACACAATGTAGTGGGAGAAAATCACATTGCTCAGTATTCTGTCACAGGCTAAAGAAGACTTTCTGTTGCTCAGAGCTTTGCTCTCTAAAAAGCTGTAGGCTTTCTGAAATGAACTGATCTGGGTTGAAGGTTAGACCAAAAATGTATCAAAGATAATGTGTAAGAATATACAAGTAAATGATTAACATACTGTCCACATGGCCTGAGAATTTTATAAACTAAGACTTATGGGTAATGTATGACGTCCCCTGATTAATCAAGTAGGCATTTTTCTTTTCCAAACAGGCCTTCTAATCCCAAAACACAATGATAGAGAAATTAATTTCATCTCATCTATATATTAAAGTTTTATATATTACAGTGAGCTATGTCTTTGTATGTATGTATGTATATGTATGTATTATATAATTTATGCTTATTTCATACTGAAGCTTTTTCAAATAAAATGAATCCTAAAAATAAAGCATCAAGAGGAAAACAGTACATATCTATCACTAAGGAAGTTCACACAGTAGCTTTGCTAAAAACGAAAACTCTTTCAGAGGATCAATCCTCCATTAAACACAGATCGCTGAAAACTGTCACCTCTTCTAGTTAAAGAATGAGGGAAAATGGAGTAATGCCATTTAGTTTCAAGACTTTCATTGTCAGCTGAAAGCTTTACTCCAATAAAAGAATTACATATTATTTGCAATGCTCACTGAAATATTAGAATTAAGATATCCTTGGCTGAGTCTGGCCTCGATGGGCTGTAACTTTTACATGAGGGAAAAAAGCCATCAGAGGAGGAAAAAGACCATTAAATAATAGTGTGATAATTTTGGGTTTGACACTTAGGTATCTAAAGGGGATACTATACAATCTAACCAAAACTTTTAGCCTCTAACAATAAAATGGTTCATAAATCATTTTTCCAACATAAAAACAGTATTTCCATACTAACTAGGTGTTGTAACAGTTCATAGATTGCAAGGCATCCCATATAAATTCCCTGCTAAGATTCACTCACTTTTAAAACTTTAAAATGGCTTTTAGAGGTGCCTGGGTGGCTCAGTTAAGGGAGCAACTCTTGATTTAGGCTCAGGTCATGATCTCAGGATCATAGAGTCTGCTTGAGTTTCTCTCGCCCTCCTCCTCTGCCCCTCCCCCTTTCTCTCTCTCACTGAAATATATAAATTTTTTTAAAAAATAAAATAAAATAAAACAGCTTTTATTTTAAGCCTTCATTTTCAAAGTCTTATTTATTATTTATTATTTAACTATTATTTAAAAGTTCAATTATTATTAGATTTTATTTATTTATTTGACAGAGAGAGAGAGAGAGAGAGACAGTGAGAGAAGGAACACAGCAGGGAGAGTG